AACCATAACAACAACAACAACAACAACAACAACAACAACAACAACAACAACAACAACAACAACAACAATTACTAGCACGTGGGGACACTCCGTTCTCACCAGTGCCAGGGTTTTCATAGGAGGCGGGCAATACCCCCACTTTGTGGGGGGGCCGGTTCAAGCTCTACCAAATTTCCAAACGACTCTTCGCCACCACCCACACCCAGCTTCCCGCCCTATGACGTTCGGACACTTCACTTCGTGGCATGCGGACGACCGTGGCTACTATTCAGGGCCCCGCGGCCGACGACGACGGCGTGCGCGCGCGAAGAAAAAACGAATGTGTCCCGCATGGTATTATTTGACAGGGATGATGGCCCTGGCAGGTGCGCAACCGTTGTTGCAGAAGTTCGAAAAAGTTGCTCGCAAAAGCCCGTTTGACAGAAATGTTTTTTTTTCTTTTTTTTTTCAAAAAAAAAAATATTATTATATATATATATATATATATATATATATATATTTATATAAAAAAAAAAAAAAAAAAAAAAAAAAAAAAAAAAAAAAAAAAAAAAAAAAAAAAAAAAAAAAAAAAAAAAAAAAATGTTGGGTTTCCTACAAATCCGCAAGAGCGCGCGGGATGAAATTTGGACATTTTTTAAAAACAAAAAATGGTTTTTTGATATTTGTATGTTAAAATCGTTACGAAAATTAAGGTTTTTGAAGGATTTCGTCTTGCGCGCGCGAATGTCCACTTTACCTTATTTTTTGCAAGGGATTCTTGAAGTTTGGTTATGTTAGAACAAGAAATGTCCACTTGAGCTAATTTCTTGCAAGGGAAAGCGGGGAGGAACAAAACAACCGGATCCGGACCAACCCGTTTTGCCTGAGACTTCCTCACGAAAATGATGAAAATGTGGCCGCGGCCTAGGCGCGGCGGGGGGGCCGTGCACCAGGGGTCCCAACAATAATGATTCTTTAGAAGTAATAATGTTCAACAACAACAACAACAACAACAACAACAACAACAACAACAATCATTTTACCCGAACGCGTGGTGTTCTCCCCAGTGCCAGGGTTTTCATACGACACCAGGCAATACCCCCACTTCGTGGGGGGGCATTACAAGCTCTACCAAATATCCAAACGACTCTTCGCGACCACCCAAACCCAGCTTCCCGCCCTATGACGTTGGGACACTTCACTTCGTGGCGTGCGGACGACCGTGGCTACTACACTGGCGTGGGGTACACACCCACAGAACTTGGTCACTTATTCGGGGCGCGCATGTGCCCAGCATGGTGCAATTGTGCCATGCTGGGCACATGCGCGGATGGTATTATTTGACAGGGATGATGGCCCTGGCAGGTGCGCAACCGTTGTCGCAGAAGTTCGAAAAAGTTGCTCGCAAAAGCCCGTTTGACAGAAATGTTTAAAAAGTGTTGGGTTTCCTACGAATCCGCAAGAGCGCGCGGGATGAGATTTTGACATTTTTTTTGTTGAAAAACCATTGGTTTTTTGATGTTTTTATGTTAAAATCGCTCCGAACACTAAGCTTTTGGAAGGATTTCGTCTTGCGCGCGCGAATGTCCACTTTACCTTATTTTTTGCAAGGGATTCTTGAAATTTGATTATATTAGAACAAGAAATGTCATTTTATAGTGTTTTTTGCAAGGGAAAGCGGGGGGGAACAAAACAACCGGATCTGGACCCCATCGTTTTACCTGAGGCTTCCTCACGAAAATGATGAAAATGTAGCTGCGGCCTAGGCGCGGCGGGGGGGGCGTGCACCAGGGGGCCCAACAATAATTATTCTTTAGAATTAATAATGTTCAACTACTAGCACGTGGGGACACTCCGTTCTCACCAGTGCCAGGGTTTTCATAGGAGGCGGGCAATACCCCCACTTTGTGGGGGGGCCGGTTCAAGCTCTACCAAATTTCCAAACGACTCTTCGCCACCACCCACACCCAGCTTCCCGCCCTATGACGTTCGGACACTTCACTTCGTGGCCTGCGGACGACCTTGGCTACTACACTGGCGCATGGTTACAGTGACTTGTTGTGGTAACAGTGCTAACAACAACCCGATACTTGCCCCACCAAGTCTTGCACGCCTGGTGACTGACCTGGATACCCTTTGCAACGAGCGCCTGATGCAAATAATACGGGCTCCGCAGTCGGCCAAGGGAGGCCGCGACAGCTCTGGGCCATACTGGTCGTCAAGGGCTTTCGCCGACAAAGCCATGACCCATCCAAGAACACAGGCGATACCTTGATCCGAGATGGCTACGGATGTGACAGTGATCAGTGATTTTGTTCGATGACGTGGTGACGCACGGACTTGTTGTGGTAACATGCCGACGACGACGACGACGACGACGACGCGACGACGCGCGCATGTGTCCCGCATGGTATTTTTGCAAGGGATTGTGGCCCCTGGCAGGCGCGCGAACGCCGTTGAAAGAGCGTGCGAAAGTAGCTCGCGCGAGCTCATGTAACATAAATGTTGAAAAACCATTTGTTTTTAAGGATTCGGACAGCGCGCGCGGGTAGAAATTTGGAAAATCCGTGCACGTGTTTTTCGAGGACCTACGGTGCGATTCGTGCGATTTTATGATACGCGGTGCTGAAATTCTTAAGAAACCCAATGGTGTTTGAAGATTTCGGCGTGCGCGCGCGAAGAAAAAACGAATGTGTCCCATATGGTATTATTTGACAGGGATGATGGCCCTGGCATGCGCGCAACCGTTGTTGCAGAAGTTCGAAGCACGTGAAAAAGTTGCTCGCAAGAGCCCGTTTGACAGAAATGTTGAAAAAGTATTGGGTTTCCTAAGAAATCCGCAAGAGCGCGCGGGATGAATGTTTGAAACTTTTTTTTTGAAAAACCATTGGGTTTTTCATGTTTTTATGTTAAAATCGCTACGAAAACTAAGGTTTTGGAAGGATTTCATCTTGCGCGCGCGAGTGTGCACTTCGTGTCATTTTTTGCAAAGGATTCTTGAAGTTTGGTTATGTTAGAACAAGACATGTCATTTTATATTGTTTTTTGACAGGGAAAGCGGGCGTCAACAAAACAACCGGATCCGGACTCCCCCGTTTTGCCTGAGACTTCCTCACGAAAATAATGAAAATGTGGCTGCGGCCTAGGCGCGGCGAGGGGGGCGTGCACCAGGGGGCCCAACAATAATTATTCTTTAGAAGTAATAATATTCAACAACAACAACAACAACAACAACAACAACAACAACAAGAATAATAATAATAAAAATAATAATAACAGCAACAACAACGAATGTAATACTGATCACTCTTTTCTGTTCGCGGGCCATTCAACACGCATATCCCAAACCATCGGTACCCGCACTCTTCGTCTCCGACTGTACCTCCCTGAAGGGTATATCTTCCCTGCCTGTCGCATGTAGTTGGCGAAGCCCCTCAACTAAACAGGGGAAAGGAGGGAAGGAGTGAAGAGGCAAGCAGGAAGGAGAAGGATGGAGCACGAGAGAGATTTGCAGGAGGGCTGGGAGCAGGAGAAGCACGAGCGGCAGAGCCAGACGGGCGTGTCGGGCGGGCGGACCCGAACGGGCAGGTCGGGCGGGCGGGCCCGGACGGCCAGCTCGAGCGGGCGGGCCACTGAAGCGTCAACCCCTTGTGCAGGAGATCTTGAACGATAGCGCGATTCCCAAGCAGATCGCTCAGAAATCCAGAGCGACGGCGTGATTCGTGGGTCTGGGGGCCACGGCGCCGCAGTGCGTTGTGAGCAGCGACCGCGCGAGAGCGCGACTCCTGCACGAAAAACTGTGAGGAGACCCCGCGCGAGCGAGCGAGTCTCACACAAACTGTGAGGACGTATCAGGCGGGAACCACTGCTGTTGTAAACCAGGGGCCAACGGCGCACTGCATGATTGAAGGGGCCCTGGGACACACACACACACACACACACACACACACACACACATAAATACACACGAATACATAACAGGATTCCCCATATTTTCCCATACTTTCTGTCTTACCGCCCGCTTCCCATATTCTCCCATATGTTCCGGGGAATCGTCGATCGATTGCGTCTGTGTGTTTTTGTCCCCTCCCGAACGTGGGAGGTCCGAGAACCGGCCTGGGGCCGCGCCCTGACCTCCCAGAGGCGTGCACGCGGCAGCGCCAGCGGACGCGGGCGCGAGGCCCGGGGCAGGGCGGGGCGCGCCGGGCGAGGGGCGCGCGGCGCGAGGGGAGAGAGGCGGAGAGCGGCCGCGGAGGGAGGCGAGGCGAGGCGAGGCGAGGCGAGGCGAGGCGAGCGCGCGGCCCCGCCGGGAGCGGGGCCCTTTGGGGCCTGCGCAGGGGGGGGCCGGGGCCCTCGGTGCTTGCAGTCCTGGTTTGCCGAGGTCGGGGTGCTCCGTCATGAGCTGGTGGACGCTGGAGGCGAGGTGGTGCGGGCGGGGGTGGAGAGTCGGAAGCCGGGCCCGAGGAGGGAGGGAGGGAGGAGCCCCGACCGCCGAAAGTCAACGGGCGAGAGCCAGCTTCCAAAGGCACGAGAAGAAGTTCGAGGCCTCCTGGATGGGGTCGGAGCAGGTGGGGTCGGAGACTAGCGGCTAGCGCCGCATCGAGCCGCATCGGCAATGCATCGCCGATGCATCGCCGATGCGGCACGATCCTCCGACCCCATCTACTCCGACGCCATCCAGGAGGCTGACGTTCTGAGACACCCCCTTCGTTGGAGGAAAAAAACAGCCATAAACATAAGCTTTTGGCGCTCCGCGCGGATTTTTGAAATCTGCGCTGGACCCCCTCCCTGGCGCGCGGAGCGCGCCAGGATCGGCGACGCAGGCGCCGCCGGGGGGACCCTGCGCGGCTCCAGGAATTCCGCGCGAAGCGCCAAAAGTTTCTACGTATGCACTTATTTCGTTTTCGAGTTCTGCTCCACCTCCTCCTCCTCCTCCTCCTCCTCCTCCTCCTCCTCCTCCTCCTCCGCCTCCGCCTCTCAGACGCCCCCGCGCCTCGGGCGTCCCCGGCGGGGGCCGCGGGGGCAGCGACGGCACCAGCAGCCTCGCGCGCTCCGCTCCCGCGGGGCCGCGCGCCTCCCGCGGCGGCGGCGGGCCCGCGGGCGCCGCCAGCCTGCACGGGGCTTGAAGCATCCGCTCAGCGAGGCGCTCCTCCCTCCTCCCTCCTGCCTCCTCCCTCCTTCCCCCTCCCTCCTCCCTCCTGCCCTCCTCCTCTCCTCCCTCCCTCCTCCTCCTCCTCCTCCTCCTTCTCCTCCTCCTTCTCCTCCTCCTTCTCTTTCTCCTTCTCCTTCTCCTTCTCCCTCCCCTCCTCCTTCTGCTCCTCCCCACTCGGCGAGGCGTTCCTCCGCCGCCCTCCCGGCAGTGGCGACGTGGGCCCCCCGGGAGGCCCAAAGGGCGAAAACCAGGGGAACGAAGAATGACATACACATGAAAACTCGGAGGTCCGCGCGGGTTTCTCGGATCGGCGCTGGACCCGGGCGGCGCCGGAGGCGCCGCCAGGGGGGTCCAGCGCCGATCCGAGAACTCCGCGCGGACCTCCGAGTTTTCATGTGTATCATTTGTCGTTCTCCTAAAAAACAAAAGAACGGCAATGGCATCTGAATCGAAGGGGAGGGGGGGGGAAGAACACCCCGCTGCATGGACTTCCTCACCCTGGGCGGGCCTCGGCGCGGAAGACGCGCCCGAGCCATAGCCGTCCAGTCGCAGCCGGGTGTAGGCGCTGGCACGCGTGGTCGCTGCCTGGGCTGCGGGGAGGAGAGGGTGCGGGGAGTGCGAGGTGGACGAGGACGAGGGGGACAACAGAGAAATCCGCCGACCCTGTCGGCCTGTGACAGGGGCTGTTCCGTCGCCATCGCCGTCGCTGCCGCCGTCGCGCCGCCGTCGCGCCGCCGCCGCCATCACGTCCCCTCCTTCCCCTGAGTCCGTCGCCGCTCCCCCCCCTTGCCTTGGGCCCTCGTCCTCACGCTCGCCAACCAAAGCGAAAGAATTACACCAGCCCGTCCACAGCGAAATCAGGCAACGTTGTCCCTGGGTCGAGGGGAAGCCCCTTCCCTTTGATCCCTTCCCCGCGGAGGGGGGGGGTCCCGGGGGGGGGGGTCCTGGGGGGGGGTCCCAGGGGATGGTCCCGGGGGGTGGTCCCGGGTCAAAATGCCACCCTCCCGGGGCCCATGGCCCGCCCCCTCCCTCCCATGCCATGTCCGTCGAGGGCCGAGGCCTCCAGAGTCGGCGGCGCCGGCCGTGCAAGGCCAATTGGCAATGAGACACTTTACAGGCATATAAACTTCTGGGGATCTGCGCGGATCTCGGAAAGTTCATGCTTAAGGCACACTGGGGACGATGCAAGGGTCTGGATCGGACTCGCGGACTTCGGGGGTCGCCTCGATGCTATCGCAGTCGCCGCCAGAACGGTGGGCTAAGAACTCCAAGCGGCGAAATGCTGGCAACCACGACGACGACGACGACCACCACCACCACGACCACGACCACGGCCACGACCACGACCACGATCACGACCAACACCATGACCACGACTACGACCACGACCATGACCACGACCACGACCACGACCACGACCACAACCAAGACCACGACCAAGACCACGACCAAGACCAAGACCACGACCAAGAACACGACGGCCACGACGACCACGAAGAGGACGGGGCGGGAGACGAGGTGAAGGAGGAGCAGCGTGGGGAGCAGCAGGAGCAGGAGGTAAACTTCTCCTCCCCAAAGTACTCCAAGCGCTGCAATCAGGCGCCGATCTGGGCCGCTCAGAATTGATTCTTCGCCCGCTATCTTTTCGCGACTGCCTCCTGTTTGTACTACGATCACCCGCCCCCGCTCTCCGGCGTTCTCCCGCCGGTCCGCCAAATCCAAAGGCAGGAGCGCAAAAACAGATGACGCAAAAGGCCGACCCGTCATACCCCACGAGATGCACGACAATCGCCGAAGTGCCCGTCCGCATGGTGTCCAACCCTCGCAACGGCAGGTTCGTAATTACCAGGACGACGATCTGGGCATTGGTCCTTGACACCGCGCGGATCGCTCAACCTTGAACGATCGCGGCATTGTGATAGCACTGCTCGTTCGATACCGGCCGATTCTGGGAAACTGGCGGCGCCACAGGGTCGAAGCCACGTCGACGCGGCGCCAACCTGCCGCACGCACAATAGATTATCCCTCGCAGAGCCGCGGGAACCCTCTCCAGCGCGCTATCCGACAGGCCAGGGACCTCCCGCGCGCGCTGGAAGCGCGAACGGACTTCCCCCCCCCCGCGCGGCGACCGGCCCGCCCTGCCCGCCGCCCCCGCCGCGCCAGGACCTGACCAGAGCGCCCAGACCGAGGGGCAACGACAGGGGGGGACTGGCATACCGTCAAAAACCCTAATAAGGACGCGCGTCCTTATCAGGGTTTTTGACTGTAGGGGGGGGGGCATCGGCCTCGAATCGGCGATGCACACCGCCGACACATCGGCGATGGGGCCCCCGAAAGGGAGCCCACGCCTCCCTGGGGCCAGCCCGGGCCACTCGGGCCCCCCACCGGCGCTCCATGAGCGATAGGGGGGGGGGCCGATGCGCCCCCCCTGCGCCTGCAGGGCAGTTTTTAATACAATAGGATCTTTAAAAATATAGGATTCTTGATACATGCTTAAGGTATGAATAAGTGTATGCATGAACTCATCGTTGTTTTACTACCAAATCCCGGCATTTCTAATACCTGATCCGCACGCGGAGCATGTATTGAAAACGGCACTGCACATCCCCCCTTCTCGCTGCCCCCGACAGCCTCCGACCCCGGACTGGCCCCGCCCGCGCCCACGGTCGCCGCCCCCCGGGGCCGCGCGCCTGGGGCCTGCCCGGCGCGGGCGCCGGCGGCAGCGGGGGCTGCCAGGCCGCGGGGTCGGGCCTCTCCTCCTCTGGAGGTCAAAAAAAGCCACCACCCTAAAATAACCGCCCCGACGCGCGGAGTCGTTCAGGAAGCGCGCCCAAGGAAGGAATCGATCAGGGCAAGGCTGTTCAGTGACCGCCCAGGGCCGTTTCTAGGGGGCCAGACGCGAACCCTGCCCCTGCCCCCCACGAATCCTGAGGGGGAGGGTGGGGTTCCCTTCGCTCTGGGAGCTCCCAGAGCGAAGTGAAGCCCACCCTGCCCCTCAGAAATCGTGGGGGGGCAGGGGTGGGGTTCGCGTCTGGCTCCCTGGTTTAGTCGTCGGGGATGGACAGACCTCCCTTTAGTAAAACGTGGTTTAGTGAAAACGACCTCGGGCCGAAACCTGGCGGGCGCAAGCCTGGAAAATAACGGCCGCGGCGCCCTCTCGAGAACCGAAAACGGACAATTCACTAATCGACGTGTTACTGTTGGGGGGTTCTGTCCACCCCCGAAGTACACGCCAGCTGTCCGGTCCGGGTGGGTTTTCTCCTCCCCCGATCCTCGTCCTCGGGCTCGTCGGGGCGCCAAGGGTCCTGGGAGGGCGTCGGGGGGCGCAGCGCGGCGGCGGAGGGAGGGCGTCGGGGGCAGGCGAGGAGCGAGGCGGGAAGGCGGGGCAAAAGGCGGGCCGCGTGCGGCGGGGCGGGCGGGAGGGGGGACGCTCCAGGGTTTCGACGGGGGGATCGACTACGGAATCGATCTACCCCAGAATTGATTTTTCACGTCGACGCTTCAACAGAAATGCGTCAACCACTCGTAGGCCTGCGAGAGTTCTGCGAATGACCCGTGGATTCGACAAGAAAATCAAGTCTGGGGCAAACCGATTCTGTAGTCGATCTCCTACTCGAGGACTGCGCACGCGTCGACCGGCTGGCGGTCGCGCAGAGGCGGCGCGGCAGCGAGCAGAGCGCTTCCGAGTGCCCTCTGCACGGGCACCAGGTGAGCAGGCTCGGGGCAGTCAGTCCCATCCCAACGAAGGGGCCCTGGGACACACAAAGAGAGAGACACACACACACACACAGAAAAGGATTCCCCATATTTACCCATATTTTTTGAATTTTGTCTTCCCTCCCACTTCCCATATTTTCCCAGATTCTCCTGGGAGTGGACGATTACTTGTGTCTGTGTGTTTTTTCCCCTCCTGACCCAACCCAAGTCGACCTCCACGGGAGAAGGGGGGGGGAGGGAGGCAGGCAGGCAGCGAGGGAGGAGAAGAGGAGGAAAGGAGAGAGCAACGGAGAGGGAGGATTCTCTGTTGAATGCACGACCGCTGCGCTGCGTGCTCACAGCACGCCGGGAGTCGCACATGCCCCAGAAGTGCAATCAACATGAAAGGCCGTGGCGAACAGCGCCGCAGTGAAATTGGCCAGAACCCAGATGAACAAAGCGACGTACGAGGCTCCACGAACAAATTAGTACGCCTGGCGAAGACATCCCTGAAGAAACTGCCAGCGAATCGCCAACAGCAATGGTATTGGAATAATGCACAACCCCAAAAAGTGGAGGCGGTTTGATCTTCGCCAAGAGCGTTCCAAGATGGCCCACGCTGGTCCCAAGACGGCCCACGAGACGCCCAAGATGCTCCAGGAGGGTTCCAAGAGGACTTCGACAAGCCCCGAAGACGCAAAAATCATTGATTCCACTTGGGTGTTCGGACGATTTCGGCACTGCCGCCTTTTCGAGCTGCCGGCCGCCCTGGACGGGCCAAGAGGCCCCACGATCGCTCCAGGACGGCCCAAAAAGCCTCCAAGAGGGCCCCCAAATTGCCCAAGATGGCCCTAAAACTGCGCAAGGGGCCTCCAAGACGGCCCCAGGATGGCCCCAAGAAGGGGCCCAGAGGGGGCACCCGAACAGACACTTCGAGCTCTCGGCCCCAAGAGGCGCCCAGGAAGCCCCCCAGAGCCTCCCAAGAGCCCACTAATAGAGGCCCCAAGAGGTCCCCAAGAGGCCCCAAAAGAGGCTCCCCAGAGGCCTCAAAAGTTGTCCACGGAGGCCCCCGAGAGCCCTCTGAAAGACCCCAAGAACCATCCACGAGGACTCTGACCCACGACCCAGGTACGTCTGGAAACTCTGCTGGAGCTCCCTTGAGCTGGCGCACTCTGGGGCAGTCGATCGGCTCTCTTCGAGCCAGATCTCCAAAAATCTCCTCGAGGACACTCTTGCCTGCCCTACCGCTCTCCATGGGCACAAGCACATCACTTTGCAGCCGCCATAATGCGGAATGGGCCGGCGGAATGAGCGAAGCGATCCGCCGCCCCACCGGGTACGGCGTGCGAGACGCCCAGGCAAGATCTCCAAGAATTCTCTCCCATGAATCACCTGCCCACGCATGCCTCGTATCCCTGCCCTTCCTCAGAGCACTCGCAACCCCTCCTGGGGCCTCCCCGCGGCCTGCTCATTCCGCCGGCCCAGGGGCCCTGGCTGCGGAACGGACTCTTTCTGGCCACCACTTCCGTCCCAAAACCGCCTCTTTTTCACGTGCTACGCTTCCGGGCGCCGCCGCGTCCTATCAGAGACCTCTCCTGGAGCCCACCGGGCTGGCTTTTGGAGCCTCCTGGGGCCCTCCTAGGCTGATCTTCACCGTCTTTCAGGCCACTTTCGGCCGTTCCAGACGCCTTCCCACCTCTATTCCAGTCACATACTCCAGAAAACTCGAACAAGCTATAAACATCGTAAAACACTTAGGATTATGACGATTATGACATTCTCGGGGTTCTCCTTGTGCCTCTCTCGGAGCTCCCGTGCACCTCTGCGGGCTCTTTCGGTCATCTTGGAAGCTACGGATGCTCCCTCTGGCCGTCCTGACAGACTCTCGGACCCATCTAAGGCCGTCTGGCCGCATTTTTGGCGCCCTCTTGAGCCGTCTCGGGCGTGCTCAGGGGGCCCTGGACAGCTTTCTGAGGCCCCAAAACTAAGTCGGACCGCTTTGTTTACCTCTCCGTATCCCTCTTCCATTTCGGCCGCCGTTTTCGACAATTTAGGGTGCCCTTTTGGGCTGATTTCGGAGCCTCTTGGAGCCCTCTACGGCTGTTTTTCGATTCTTTTTGGGCTCTCTGGCGCCGACTGGTTCGCCTCAAAAATCACTGGACAGCACATCTCGCTTCCGTTTACTTGCATCGTCCGCTGGCCTCCCCGCGCGAGAAGTCCAGAAACGTGCGAGGCACACGGGAATACATTTCCCCGTCTGTGGGCCCAACAGTGGCTTATGTGTGCTTAATTCTGCGCGTGCGCATGCCATGCCACCGCAGTGTCGCCCCCAGACTTCGACACGCGTGGTGCAATGTCATGCCGTCTTCAGAGCCTCTTGCCGCCCTCGTTGCGCCGCCCTCCAAGCCTTTTTCGACCCTCTGGGATCGCCATCGACACCCCCGCAGAGAAACTCCGGTTCCAAAAAAAGTGGGGCGGCGGTGTCTGCCCCCTCAGGGGCGTTCAATTACATAATCTTCAACAGAAGCCCCGAGAGAGGAAAAAGAAATGCCAAAGACGCACTGCAATGTCATAGCTGAAGCACACAACCCAGAACACTGAAACCCACAATGAGGCAGAATATGCAAGAACACCCACCTGCATGAGACGCACCCATGCGGAGTATGGCCCAGCCGAACCTCAACGAAAGTGCAGAAAACAGCTGCCCCTCACCTAGATCAGGAGGCAGATGAACGGGAACCAGCCAACATCCACACGACCCTGATCTGAAGGGGCACTGGGACACACAAACAAGTACACACAAATAAAAAGGATCCCCCATATTTTCCCACATCTTCTGGGTTTCTGTCTTCCCCCCCACTGCCCATATTTTCCCATCCTTTCTGGGAGATCGACGATGAATTGTGTCTTGTGTGTTTTTTCCCCTCCTGATGACCACCATCCTCGTCGAGGAGGTGCTCCCGATCACGGGACTCTGGGGCCGCAGCCTCGGACCCCACGCCCAAGCACGGCACCGCACGAGACCGGCCCGGCGGCGGCGCGCGAGGCAGGCCTTCGGCGCAGGGCGGAGCGCCGATGGGCCTGCCCGGCAGCCGCCACCGGCGGCACCCGCCGAGGCCTCCCCGGGCGGCAGCCGCACCCCGGGCGCCTGGGGGCCGAGGGCTGCCGCTCGCCCGTGCACTCCTAGGAGTGCCACGTGCGAACCCTGCCCCCACCCCCCACGACTTCCGAGGGGGAGAGGGTGGGGCTCACGTCGCTCGGGGGCTCCCGAGCGACGTCAGCCCCACCCCCTCCCCCTCGGAAGTCGTGGGGGGTAGGGGGGCAGGGTTCGCACGTGGCCCCCTGACTCCTCACGGGCAGGGGGGGAGGTCCGAGCTCGAGCACGAGGAGCGCCGATGCCACCGGGAGCCGCCGCGCGCGGCCCGCCGCCAGGGGCCCCCGCGGGCGCGGGCCGGCAGCCGCCCCGCGGCGACCTCGCCGTCGGAGGCGCCGGCCCGAGGCCGCACGGCGGAGCCTCGGCCGCGCGCCTGTCCGGAGGGCTGGGCGGGAGGCACGCCCCCCGATGCTGCCATGAGCCTCGGAGGAGTGCGGCCCACGATCCCTGCGGCACCGCGCCTCCCGACTGCCTACCAGACCACCCCAGCCCAACCCGAAGGCCCGGATTTCGGGTGGGGAGGGGGGTAAGGGCTCCACGCGCGCCTTTTTTCCATGTTCCCCGAGCCCCCCCCCGCCCCCACTGGAAATCGACGGTCAGTTTGAGCCTTCGGGTTGGGTTTGGGTGGTTTGGTGGGTGGTGAGGAGGGGTATGGCCCACGAGCCTCGCGGCACCGCGCCTCCAGCGCCGCGAGACGCCTGCGGCGGGCCGCACGGCGCGCTGCCGTGGGCCCGAGGGTGCTGATCCCGTGCTCCCGCACGGCCCTGGGCCGCCAGGCAGCGGGCAGCCCCCCGCAGCCACCGCCGCCACCCCGCGCCGCCATCGACCGGAAAAGGCGATGGCGAAAGCGGGGAGAAAACAGTTTGAGCCAAAATGGCTACGGAACAAGAGAGGGAGGAAAGAAAGGAAGGGAGGGAGGAAGGGATGAAGATATGAAAGGGAGGAAGAGTCAGTGAGGAAGGGAAGCGGACAGAGGATGAAGCAAAAGACAAGACGAAAGGGCGCGTCAATTGGAAAGAAGAAGGGACGATGAAGGGGATGTGGAAAAGGGGAGAGAAGAGAACGTGGACCAGGCAAAAGGGAAAGGAAGAGGGAAAGAGAAGAAAAGGGCAGGGGGCCATCAAGGATAACAAACCAATGATGGCGAACGAGGACAAGGGCACGGGAGAAGTGAGGACGGCGAAAATGGCATTGGAAGCAGAAGCTGCAGGGGGGAATGGGGAAGGTGTGAAGGGAAGCGCAGGTGGACCTTCTACCTTAGCACATGCTTCCATCGCGGCCACGACCGCGCCCAAGACCACTACATCGGCCGCCGCCTTCGTAGAGGAAGCAGGTCTCTGGAATAATTGCCAAATAGCTGCGAATTGTAGCCAAACAACACGTTACGCAGACCCCTGGGCAGCACAAATTGGTGCCTCTGCAGAGCCATAACCCTCGTTAAACCTCGTCGTGCTTCTCGTCACCGTGGCGATCGTACACATCGTCGTCGTCGTTATCATCCCAGCACTTGTCGTCAAAAGAGATTCCATCACCCTTGCCAGACGCCAGCGCGACCAATGTCGAAGGCGATGACGTTGGAGGCACCGGGCGCGGTGAACCGAAGGCTCCGCGAATCATCGGCTGGCTGATGATCCAAAACCTCGATCTCGTCACTGTCCCGAAATAGTGCTCGCCATGGTACCAGATACGGGACAGATAAGCCCGGCGATGCACAGCGGCGGGCATGATTGCCTGGAAACTAGATCCATTGCCCCTTCTGCTGTGGCTCGAGGCACCCTTGCCAAACATGCTGGATCGAGAACGACAGCGTGCAGCAGCGCAGGCACCAGCGAGAGCGAGTGGCGCTCGTCGCACCGTCAGAAGGGGGGGAGGGGATAGGGATAGGGGGAGGGGGGGAGGGGGAGCGACAGAGACAGATCTAGGACGAAGGGGGCAGGAGCTGAGAGGCAACGATAAGGTGGCGACGAGGTGAGACTACGATGCTGCCGCGAGGGAGCTGCTGGACTGCACGACCCCGCGCCCTCTGCTCGACACAATTTGCTGGCAGACCCGTTTTCATATATTTATATATATAAATAGAGATAATGTTTTTTTGATTATATATATGTTTTTTTTTTTTAAAAAAAAAAAAAAAAAAAAAAAAAAAAAAAAAAAAAAAAAAAAAAAAAAAAAAAAAAAAAAAAAAAAAAAAAAAAAAAAAAAAAAAAAAAAAATCGGGGCTCTGCCGGTAATCCCCTGCACTTTAGACGCCCGAAATGGTACGGAACAGATGCGCACGATGCCCAGCAGGAAACATGTTCCAAGAGCGACAGCGGTCATTGATGGGCAGGCGGCCTTCCGTCTCAAAACGAACCCGCCCGCGACGGCACCGACGGCGACTCCTGCTCAAGAGGGACGGGATCTGCTGCCAGTCTTCGCACCCGCCCATCACTTCGGTACCCATAGGGGAACAAAGAGTGACATGAACATAAAAACTCGGAGGTCCGCGCGGGTTTCTCGGATCCGCGCTGGACCCCCCTCCCTGGCGCGCGGAGCGCGCCAGGCGCGGCGCTGGAGGCGCCGGCCCCACCCCGATCGCACCCACCCATGACTTCGGTACCCACTCCGATCGCCCCGGTGCACGGCCGAGGCCCCGATGCATTGGCCCTGCGGCCTCCCAGCCAGAGGCCGAAATTGGCCCAAAACCTCTAGTCCTGATTTTTGTTGTTGTTTTTGTTCACGCCGCGATCGTGTCTGGGGACGGTGCCGCCGCCGGGAGCTCTGGCTCCCGGCCCGTGGCTCTGGCTCCCGAACCCTGGGAAGGCCGGCGCTTCACGGCTCGGCGATCCTCAGAGCGCGCGCCGGCGCCAGCAGGCGCTTGCCCATCGAAGCCAGTCAATACGGTGCAGGCGATGTTGTAACGACCTGCCGGCGGAGCTGAAGGGGTGCGTCAGGTTCGTCTCGTGCCGGCTTCGGCGCTGGCCTCTGAAACCGCGGGGACCGCCCAAGCCTGAACGATCGGCCGTTCCCGCAACGCCCAACTCGTTCCACATCGACCGACTCCGGGTCGCCCGCGGCGTTCCACGCTGGACGCCGCTGGCGGTGTCGCCGCCGGTCGACACGGCACGAACCGACTGTAAGCTTATGTCGGGCGTGTCCCCCCCGACCGTAAGCTTATGTGGACTAGTTTTGATGACTTTTGAAATATTTTTCATTTTCCTTCGAGAATCCCCCTGTAGGGGGACACGCCCGACTTGACCGTAAGCCAACGCACGTCCTGAGGATCCTCGCGCGGCCTGCGGCGGACCCTCGGCGCTCCTGTGACCTGCGCCTGGGGCGCGGCACTGCCAGGGGGCCCCTCTTCCTGGTCCTTGGACGAACGAACAACACACACCCATACCCATAGGGAGGTCGGAGGGAGAAGGACTGGCTATGGGTATGGGTGTGCGGGTTGTCGGACCCCTGAAGGGGCTCCCGTTCGAGCGGGGACCCCTATCCGACAACACGCACCCATAGCTCATTCCGTCTCCCCTATGGGTATAGGTGCGTGTTGATCGTTCGTCATCCTTGGGGGCTCCGGCTCCCAGCTCTCGCCGGCGCAAAGTGCGCGTCGGCCGCAGCTCAGAAGAGGCCGGAGTCGAATCGAGAAGTCGGATCGGCGATCGAACTGAATCGGGTCGGCGGCAATCGGCAGCCGAATCGGGAGAAGTCGCATTGGCGGAAGTCGGCAGGCTGGTAGGCCTCCTTTGACGAATCGGAGCCCAGATCGGAATCCCAAGCCGGATCGAATCGGGAGCGGAAGCCATCGAAATCGAACCGAATCGAATCGTAGGAGTCGAAACGAGCCCCGACCCCGTGGCCGAAACTCCGCCTCTGCTCGCGGCGGGCCGCTCCGAGGCAAAGTCCCGCGGGTTGACCACCAGCTCGGGGCGATCCCGCCCCGAGGGCAGGGCCTCCAGCCCCGGGTCCTGGCGCAAAGGGGAGGGCACGGGGAGCACCGAGAGCATGTCGGACAGCGTCTCCCTTCCCATCTGCCCCTCGCCCTTTCTACTTCCTTGTCGCTGTTGCGTTCCATCTCTCTGCACTTATCTTCATGTGTCTCTCTCTCTCTCTCTCCCTCTCTTTCTCTCTGTTTCTGTCTCTCTCTCTCTCTTTCTCTCTCTCTCTCTCTCTCTCTTTCTCTTTCTCTCTCTCTCTCTCTTTCTCTCTCTCTCTGTCTCTCCCTCTCTCTCTCTCTCTAGATCGTTCTGCCTCCAAACCACGTTGTGTGCTCTGTCCGTATCTTTGTCATTAAAACCTGCCTCCTCGCCCTGGTGAAATTACGGACAGCATGCCCACGCTCACAGATCCGCTGGCCCCCTTGTGGGGCCACCAGGCTGTAGGCCGGAGGTTCGCAGGTTCCTGTACCAGTTGCAGCTTCCAGTTTCCACTGTTACAGTTATGCTTCTTGCTGCTTACTGTTCCTTGTTGACTTATTGCTGCTTACTGTTCCTTGTTGATGGACCGCGCGAGGGGGGGAGGCCCAAAACAAGCATTTTTACCACGGAGAAATCGTATTGTCTGGATTGCTGGGGTGGGTAAAAATTGACACCCCTCACGCAGATCGGCGGGGTCAGGGTCCAAAAACACAACGGATTTGCCACATTTCTGAAATTCGGTGGCACCCCTCACGCAGATCGGCGGGGTTAGGGTTCAAAAACACAGAGGAATTGCCACATTTCTGAAATCCGGTGGCACCCCTCACGCAGATCGGCGGGGTCAGGATCCAAAAACTCATGGGATTTGCAACATTTTTGACATTCGGTGGCACCCCTCACGCAGATCGGCGGGGCAGAATCCTACTCGAGCTGCGTCCAGCTCTCATAGAATCCCACCAAGGCTGCGTCCAGCTCTAATAAAATCCTACTCGAGCTGCGTCCAGCTCGAATAAAATCCTACTACAGGTGCGTCCAGCCCTACTAGAATCCTTTTTAGAACTGCGTCCAGCTTTGTTAGAATCCGAGTAGAGCTGCGTTCAGCTCTGATAGAATCCTACTCGAGCTGCGTCCAGCTCGAATAGAATCCTACTCGAGCTGCGTCCAGCTCGAATAGAATCCTACTAGAGCTGCGTCCAGCTCTAATCGAATCCTACTAGAGCTGCGTCCAGCTCTGATGGAATCCTACTAGAGCTGCGTCCAGCTCAGATAGAATCCTAAAAGAGCTGCGCCCAGCTTTGATAGAATCCGACTAGAGCTGCGTCCAGCTCTGGATCGAATTGAATCCGACTAGAGCAGCGTCCAGCTCTACTAGAATCCTACTAGAGCTGCGCAAAGCTCGAATTGAGTCCTACTAAAACTGCGTCCAGCTCTCATAGAATCCTACGGGAGATGCGTCCAGCTCTGATAGAATCCTACTCCTGCGTCCAATAGAAACCGACTAGAACTGCGCCCAACTCTGATAGAAACCTACTAAAGCTGCGTCCAGCTCTACTAGAATCCTGTTAGAGCTGCGTCCGGCTCTAACAGAATCCTACTGGAGATGTGTCCAGTTTTAGTAGAACCCTACTAGGAGGTGCGTCCAGCTTTGTTAGAATCCTACTCGAGCTGTGTCCAGCTCTGATAGAATCCTACTCGAGCTGCGTCCAGCTCGAATGATCCTACTCGAGCTGCGTCCAGCTCGAAGAGAGTCCTACTAGAGCTGCGTCCAGCTCGAATAGAATCCTACTCGAGCTGCGTCCTCATCATCATCATCATCATCATCATCAACATCATCAGCAGCAGCAGCAGCAGCAGCAGCATCATCATCATCATCATCATCATCATCAGCATCATCATCATCGTCATAACCTCCATCAGCATCATCATCATCATCATCATCATCATCATCATCATCATCATCATCATCATCAACATCATCAGCATCATCATCGTTATCGCCATCGTCATCATCATCGTCATCAGCATCGTCATCGTCATCATCATCCTCATTATCGTCATCGTCATCATCATCGTCACCGTCGCCATCAGCATCGACATCGTCATCGTCATCGACATCGTCATCGTCATCAGCATCGACATCGTCATCGTCATCATCATCGACATCAGTATCATCATCGTCATCGTCATCGTCATCAGCATCAGCATCGTCATCAGCATCGTCATTGGCATCGTCATCATCATCATCATCATCATCATCATCATCATCATCAGCATGGTCATCGTCATCGTCATGACCCTCGGCATCCTCATTACGGCCCCCCCAAGTCTTGAGATCAAATGTGTCCCATGAGATGGCATTCCACAATAAGCGTCCCGACCCTCCTCCGTCGCCCAAACGTCCTCCTCGTCTTGATCACCGTCATCACGTCCACCACGACTACCATCGTAGCAACGAACATCCCCCCACCCGCATTACTTTAACCGCAACCATCACAACCATGATCAGCATCAGCACCACAACCATCAACTCAACCATCAACTCAACCATCACCAACATCCCCATCGCCATCCGTACCAATACCACCATCATCATCATCATCATCATCAGCATCATCAGCATCATCAGCATCAACACCATACGCATTGTCATATGTAATATCCCTATCATCAACACCAGCCTCATGATCAGCGGCATCATCATTACTATTGCCCCATCCATCATAGAAACGATTCAGCATCCTCATCCCAACTCTTCCAACCCTGCAAGCACGAGGTCCCACACGTGAGGGTCATCCTTTGCCTCCTTCTCCTCCTCCTCCTCTTCCTCCTCGTCATCCTCTTCCTCCTCCTCCTCCTCCTCCTCCTTTTGCTCCACCTCGTCCGCCTCGTCGTCATCCGCCTCGTCGTCATCGGCCTCGTCGTCACCAGCCCCCAGAACGCTTGCAGGGAGCGTGCCCAGTGCGCTTCCAAGGGTAGAATGGCATGCGCCTTCCCCTCCCCCTGTTGCGCCATCCCTCCACGCCCAATTGCGCCGTTGGTTGCGGTTCCCTCCGCCCTGTTGCGCCCTCCCCCCCCCCCAGCGCTCCCCCTCGAGCGTTGCGCGGCTGCAGTTGCGACCGCCCCCCCCTCCCCGCAACTCCTCCCGGGGTACCAGAATCACGTCCTCGTCAACAACAACAACAACAACAACAACAACAACAACAACAACAACAACAACAACAACAACAACAGCAACAACAACAACAACAACAACAACAACCATAATAATAATAATGTTAAGACTTTTCGCCCTTATATGCTCGAGTGTCCAATAACGCGTATTTCCCAAACCCTCGATACCCGCCCTCTTCGTCTTCGATCGAACCCCTTTTGGGGGGTATACCTTTCTTCCCTGCAGGCCGGGCCCCGGCAAGCGGCGGGGCGGCCGCGGACCGTCGGCCTGGCCAGTGGCAGCGCTGATCGGCGGGGCGGCCGCGGACCGTCGACCCGACCCCAAGAGGGACGGACAGGGGACCGACCACGACGACGACGACGACGACGACAAGACGACGACGACGACGACGACGACGTCGAAGACGAATGCGACGACGACGGCGACGACGAGCGAAAGCGAGAGCGAGAGAGAACGACAGCAGGGCCACGAAGGGCACGAAGTAGGCCACGAGGGGCGACAGCGGGGACACAAAGGGAATACGTATGGGGCCACAAAGAGCGCGAACGAGCGGGGGCCACGAAGTGCAGATAATGCGGGGCCACAGAAGGTAACTATGGGGCCACTGAGGGTAGCAACTGGGCCACGTAGGACAGTGAGGGGGACACAAATGGCGACAGCGGGGCCACGAAGGGCATGCACATGGGGCCACAACGGGCGCGACTCCTGGGTGCCTGGGTGTCGGGAGCGCCGCGCTTGGGCAAATTGCAAGAAATTCCAACGCAAGGCCATTCTTCAGTAAGTTGCAAGCAAATCTCCAGCGAGAGCGCGACTCCAGAGCGCCGGGAGAGCGATTCCTCAATAAATTGTAAGGAAGTCCCAGGCGAGAGCGCGATTCCTGACTAAAATGCGAGGAAGTCTCGGGCGGGAGCGGGGGTCCTGGCTAAATTGTGAAGAAATCTCAGGCGGGAGCCGTTGTTGTTGTAACCCGGAAGCCAGGGGGCCAGTTTGAGCAGGAAGACTTTCCCTGTCAAAAAAAAAGGGTGCGAGCGTCGAGGGGCACACTTTGAGTGAGAAAAAACAGTATGCACCGGTGGGGGGCATCAACAATAAATATTCTTCAGAAATGAGAATTCAACAACAACAACAACAACAACAACAACAACAACAGCAGCAACATCCAGCCCGCAGAACGCACCCTCACTCTGACAGTAGTTGAGGAACTGATTCAACAAGCACGCTCAAAGCGCCCTGCAAAGCAATCCACTCGGATAAGCAGTCATGCGGCAAGCTGTAATGTTCCTGTCTCTCCCCTTCCCCTTCCACCCCCCCTCACCCGCGTCGCCCTCGCTGAGGCTGACGAGCGAAGCAGCGAGGCCACGGTCCCATTCGTTCACTCGCTCTTCGCCATTGTCTGGCGGCGCGTTGATCTCCACCCACATGGCATGGATCGACACTGCAGAGGAGTTGAAGACCTCCCCCTCTACTGCTCAGCAAAGTTTGGCTCACATCACTCCCTTTCGTTAACCCAAATGCTGGCCTCTTCGAGGACACCATCATCATCCTGTTCTGGGGATACGTTGCAACAAAGTGCCGCCGTGAGCGCTCAAATCGTGAGACTCATCGACCAGGGCATCAATCCAATGTTTGCATGCCATGCCTTCGGACAAGAGGACAAGTTGCACAGTGAACGGATGAATATGTTGCCGTTCAAGAAGTCCCCAAACAGTGCTTACACTTCGGGGCTCTGTGGTGCTACCTGAGGGATTGGATGGGTGTACAGGGCAGTTTTTTATACATAGGATTTTAAACTTTTCGGATTTTCATTACATGAACAATGTATGAATACATTGATGCATGAACTCATCGTTGTTTTTAATACTAAACCCTGCATGTTTAATACATGATCCGCACGTGGAGCATGTATTAAAAATGGCACTGTACCGAGGTTTCGCCAAGTTGCCACCCCTTCCCGCCCGTGGGTGCCTCGTGGGCGCTGCATGCGAAGGACATTCTTGCCGAGGCTCTGCCACTCCTCCCGGGCACCTCGCGTGCCGAGAAGGTGTGCCGAAGCTTCGCTACGCTGCCGCCCGTGGCTCGTCGCGGGCGCAGGCCATCCCAGGCGCAGACCTTACGCCACATCGGCACCATGCAGCTTGCGCGAAACAGCTGGCTCCACGTATCTTATCCCGCCGTCCTTACACCAGACAGCGCCCATCACACCGTTTGCATAAAGTAGATTGCATCGCAGAGCTTGCGCAAACATCGCTTAATGCTTAAAGACTATCACCAGAAACAATATGGGGGAACAGTTTGTATACATATATTAAACCATATCAAAAAACAAAACAAAAAAAAAAAGCGGGGCAAACCGGACCGCCGGGGACGTCCCCGCGATCGCCCTGGCGCTTCGCGCTCATGCATGCATATCTTTTTATAGATATATATATATGTATATATACATATACCGAAATAGCGTGTTCTACCGCTGCTGGCGGAAAACCGGGGGGGGGTCACTACTGGTTCGAACCCCTCCCCCCCCCCCTCCGGAAAACCGGGGGGGGTCACTACCGGTTCGAACCCCTCCCCCCCCCCCCCCCAGTTCATTATGAAAAGGGGGGGGGGTCACTACCGGTTCGAACCCCCCCCCCTCGAAAACCGGGGGGGGTCACTACCGGTTCGAACCCTCCCCCCCCCCTCGAAAACCGAGGGGGGGTGCGGACAGTGGTGGGGACGGTGGTGGTGGGGACAGTGGTGAGGGGACAGCGGGACAGTGGTGGGGACAGTGGGACAGTGGTGGGGACGGTAGTGGTGGGGACAGTGGTGAGGACAATGGTGGGAACAGTGGGGACAGTGGACAGTGGTGGGGACGGTGGTGGTGGGGATAGTGGTGTGGGGACAGTGGGAATGAGGTGGAAACAGTGGGACAGTGGAGGGTACAGTGGTGATGGGGACAGTGGTGAAGGCGGTGGCGAGGACGGCGGTGGGACAATGGGACAGAGGTACAGTGGGGACAGTGGTGGGGACAGTGGGGACAGTGGTGGGAACAGTGGAACAGTTCAGTGGGACAGCGGAGGAGTCAGTGGGACAGTGGGGACAGTGGGGATAGTCGGGCAGTGGTTGGGGGTGTGGAGAAAGTGGGGAGAGTGGAACCGTGGTGGGAACAGTGGTGGGGACAGTGGGGACAGTGCGACAGTGGTGGGGGCACTGGTGGGGACAATAGGGACGGTGGTGGAACCAGTGGGGACAGTGGTGGTGAGGACAGTGGTGCTGGGAACAACAGTGGGGGATGTGGTGCGGACGGTGGTAGGGACCGGGAGTCGTTTGCTGGCGGTGAGTGGGGGGGGTGGAGGGGTTCGAACCGGTAGTGACCCCCCCCCCATTCGGTTTTCGAAAGGGGGGTGGGTTCGAACCGGTAGTGACCCCCCCCGGTTTCGAGGGGGGGGGGGGGAGGGGTTAGGGAAGGGGGGGGGGTTTGCCGGGGAAGGGGAGGGGGGGGGGGGGCAGGGGGTTCCAGCAAGGGGGGGGGGATTTTCGGAGGGGGGGGGGATCCCCGGGTTCCGGAGGAAAAGGGCGGCAATTTTCCACAGTAAAGCGGCGGTGGATCACGCTCTCTCTCTCTCTCTATCTCTCTCTCTCTCTCTCTCATATATATATATATATGTGTATGCAAGTTGTTCGGTTACTCTATCTTGCCATGTCGGGTATTGTCGTTACAATCGTGCTATTGATTTTCCGTCCCCCATGCTTCCTCTTCCTCTTCCTCATTATCGCCCGACCCTGAGAACATGTCCCCCTCCTCCTTAGCTCTTTTTGCGGAGGCTCCTCCTTGGAGAGCCTCTTGGGTGCCTCACGAAAGTGTTTAAGGGCTACTTGGAGCCTTCTGGAGGCCTCGTGGGTTCTTCCTGGGGGCCTCTGGGGGCTTCCTCGGGCCACCACTGGGTCACAATTTGGAATGCTTCGGGGGGCGTCTTGGGGCCATCTTTTTTTTTGTCGGGGGGGGGCCACCAAGCTACGCGGATGAAATTCCAGCAACTTTTGAACATTCCAGCAACAGATCCAATACCAGGCCGACCAGGACGACCAGGCCGACACCCGGCAGGCCGCTGACGCAGCATTGGATAAGCAATGTTGTGACTGTCGTGCTGGGAACCCGCATGTACGTGCAAAGCGTAGACTCATGCAGTGTTCCCCGCCCCATTTCACCACTCCACGGATGCAACGTACTCGCATGATAGTTGCTCCACCTTCTTCAATACTGAATCGAGCGCAATGGACCAATCCTGCTTGTGGCGTCCTCCACTAACAGAAACACTATACCCGCGTGCCCATATTTCACTTCGAACGCCAATGGAAGACAGGACGAAATTTCCGCCATGCCGATAAAGGAATATACCATGTGGGGTGTATATACAAAGCACGAGATCATCGAACGAGGCAGGCTTGATGTTGCGAAACGTGACACTCCAGACACGTTTACGTGGATCCCAAACAAGTTGAGAACTCTTGCATTCAATTCGTCGGCCGTCCCGGCTCCAATCATATTCTGCCTGTCGAAGACTCCGACGAGCCCCGTTAGAACGAGCACCCACGACTGGATCCATCACAAGCGACCCCATATTCAAAATAGTGTCGACCAGTCGAGCAATGGCTTGTATCCGTTCGCCTCGCACTGCACCAGCCAGACTTGCAAGAGGCACGTCGTGATATGCTTCGTCCATTCGCACGGCATAAGGAGTTTGCCTAAAATTAGATAAGGCCCGGACCACGCTCGCGTGGTGGAGTGAGAATCGTGCCACTTGTCTGCATTGGTTACTCGGAGCATCCAGTCTACCAAGGACAGATTTTAGCGCGACGCGCCAGTCGCCCACTCCCCCAGGACCGTAAAAGCAAATGTGGCATCCCTCTGTCTCGGTGCGTGCGCCAGATGAGGAAATTCCCAAGCTAAGGTCGTGCTGGTACACGATCAGCTCCAAAGGCGTGTACAGCACTAGGAGTAGAATGTCAAAGGAACGAAACTTGACGGATTGAAATCGAAAACTCCATCTTCTTGCACCTCCGACCCAAGTGAACATTGAACTTTTACATTCAACCCTTCGCCCATTACAAAGCCAATCATACTCAGCTGTGCTCGCCGCTCGTCGCCTCCCGTCGCAACGCATGCCAGGCTCCGCATCAGTTACGTGTGCACCCTTCTCCCCAATTAACTCAGACGTGCGCACAATGCCGGTGAACAGATCGCCACGCAGCTTCGCATTCATGTTCGCGAAAGGTGCACCCTCGTAAACATCAGCGCGCCCTGCACTACCATTCACAATGCCATCAAAACGCGATGCAGGCAGAACTAGCGATCGTATGTTGAAACACGGCGCATGCCTGCAACCAACAACGATATGCCTCCGCAATGACATAGAATCTTAAGACGACTCTCGGAATTGCATGATTCAACGCAGCTAGAATACAAGTCACACTGACTCGGGAAGATGGTGTCGCCCTGAATGGCTTCAGCCAGATGTGCTTAAGAGCTGCGGCAATTTGAGCCAAGGACGATTGGAACAATAGCAAAGCTTGAACCAAAATGGCTTGAGCCAAAATGGCTTGAGCCAACATGGCTACGGAGGGGGCGTCTTGGGGCCATCTTGGGCTGTCATGAGGCTCTCTTCGGGCCATCTTGGGGCCCAGTTGGGCCGTCTTGGGGCTCTCTTGGACTGCCTGGAAGCCATTTTGGGTAGCTTGGGGGCGACGTTCTGGCCTCCTGGGCGGTCTCGGACGCCCAGCAGACCGAAGAACAGAGCAGACTCAAAATCTCACAAAAACCGTGGGAAAGCAATGTCCTCTTGCGCTTCGAATGCCTCTCAGGAAGCCTTCTTTGAATCGTCTTCGCCCGACTGGCGGGTGTCTGGGGCTTAGTGGGCCCTGGAAACGACAGGGCCGTTCTTTTACCGGTTCCGTTTTGCCGTTTTTGTTGAAGGTTCCGACGCCGTTTTTTTACCGGTTCCGTCGCCGTTTCTTGACCGGTTCCGGCTCCGGTTCCACTCCTGGAGCCGTTTTTTTGCCGTTTCCGGTCGCCGTTTTTTTGCCGTTCCCATTTTCAAAGGGACATTTTTTGGGAAACGGTGAAAAAACGGCCCTGCCGTTTCTGGGGCCCACAGAGGTCTGGGGCCTCCTGGGGCTCTCGCGGGGCCGCGGGGCCGGTCGGCCGCCGCCCTCCGGGAATCCAGTGGGGTCCAGCGCCTGGGCCCAGCAGGAGCCTCCCAGGAGCCCCGGACAGCCCGGGGGGGGCCTGCTGCAGGGGCGTCCCAGGGGGCCCCCCCGGGCCACAGATCCGGGGGTCCCGTTTTTTGAAGGAAGAAAAAACGACCCTCTGGTTCACAAGTGCGCGGTCTGTAAACCCCCTGGGAACCCCCAAAGCCTAGAGCCGCCAGGACGCGGCACATCACGCAGGGTTTGCCCTGTCAGCCCACAGGAGTGTCAGCGCACAGCGCCTCGTAAACCAGGGTAGGGGCGTTTTTCCTGCCCTTGAGTTTTGGGACGAACGAACTTACAAACGAACGAACGCCAGAGACGTGCGTGCTCCGCTGGGGAGCTCGCCCGTGCCCATCAGGGCATGGCGTGGAGGCCGCGGCCTCGACCGGAAGATCAGCGAGTCAAACTTGTGAAACGTGCGCCCGCTCAGATGATGCCCACCACTCTGTGCACACAGCGGCCTGGATCCATCGTAGGTTGTTCGTGTTGTTGTGCTCGTAATGTCTAAGTTGGGTGGCCAGCCCGGCGACTGGCGGCAGCCCGCGACGAGCAGCTCCTGGCCGACTGGCTGGCTCGCCGCCCGCCGCAGCCGCAGGCCAGCGAGGCCGCCCCCGCGGCCGACCGCATGGCCGCCTTGCGGGCCCGGATTGCCGCGAAGGAGAGGCGCGCCGAAGCGGCGGCAGTCTCACCAGGGTGCCACACCTGAGCCGTGTGGCGTGCTCGTGAATCCAGGCCACGGCAGCGCCCTCGGTGGGGCCGCAGCGCGCGCTGTCTGTTGCGCCCTTGACCAAAAAAGGTGGCTGCCCGTTTTGGGGGGGGGAGGGGGGGGTTTTCCCAACCCCCTGGATTGCATAAACAGTTCCAAAAAAAAAGAGGAGCACGCCACCGCGCCGCGAGGCGGGACGTCGAGTTGTCTCTTGGTCCTCATGTGTCCTCTGTTCTCTGCACCCAGGATTGTAATATTCTAAGGGCTGGGGCCCGAAATTCTCAGATTTCCTGGGCGTTCCCGCGCGATTTTGGGCTGCCTCGCATGACTTTTCCAGAAGCCAGAGGACCCCAAGTCGGGCCAAGAGAACCCCAGAAAGCGCTCTAGAGGGTCCAAGAGGCCTCCAAGACAGCACAAGAGCGCTCGAAGACGCCCAAGATTGCCCCAAGACGGCCCAAGAGGCCCCAAAGAAGCCCCAAGAGCGCTCCAAGAGGACCCCCGAGAGGGCCAAAAGAGGCAAAAAGCAGTGATTGTCCTTGTGTTATTCGATGCGTTTCGCGTTCTCGCGTTTTCGGGCTTCCGACGCTCCAAGATGGCCCCAGAGGCCCCCAAGACCGCCCCAAGACGGCCGAAGAGGCTCCGAAGAGGGCCCCAAGACGGTCCAAGAGGACCAAGAGTTGCCCAAGATCACCGAAGAGGGGCCAAAAACGAACCCAAAAGGGGCCCAAGAGGGGGAACAAGAACCGACAATTCGAGCTTTCAGCCCCATGAGGCCCCCAGGAGGCCGCAAGAGGCCCCCAAGAGAGCCCCAGAGGCCCCCTAGAGGCCCCACGAAACCCCCAAGAGGCCCAAAAAGAGGACCCAAAAGGCCCCCCAAACGGCCCCCAAGAGGTCTCGAAACTGCCTCCAAGAGGCCCCCGAGAGGCAGGCATCCCACGATATCCGAACGAACATCCCAAAGGCCTCCAACCCACAACCCAGGCACGGTGGCGGGATGGGCCGAAGGCCACTGGACACACATATTACCTATACGACCACCCTGCGGGTGATAAGGAGGTGAGGGGGGAGGGGGAACCAACGTCTCACTCAATCGATCTCGCTATCGATCTCACAATCGATCTCACAGTCGATCTCACTATCGATATCACTATCGATCTCGCTATCGATCTCACTATCGATCTCACAATCGATCTCACAATCGATCTCACATTCGGTCTCACATTCGGTCTCACTGTCGATCTTACTATCGATCTCACAATCGATCTCACAGTCGATCTCACATTCGGTCTCAAATTCGGTCTCACTATCGATCTCACGATCGATCTCACAATCGATCTCACAATCGATCTCACATTCGGTTTCACATTCGGTCTCACTATCGATCTCACAATCGATCTCATTATCGATTTTCACTCGGCAATTTTCACTCGGCACCATCATCATCATAATCATCATTACCATTATCATCTCACAATCGATCTGACTATCGATCTCACAATCGATTTCACCATCGATCTCACAATCGATCTCAAATTCGGTCTCACTATGGATGTCACAATCGATCTCACAATCGACGTCATCATCATCATCATCAGCATCATCAACAACACCAACATCATCATCATCATCATCATCATCATCATCATCATCATCATCATCATCATCATCATCATCATCATCATCATCATCATCATCGCCATCATCACCATCATCATCATCATCATCATCACCATCATCATCATAATCATCCACATCATCATCGGGACACCGACGGGACTCCGACGGGACACCAGCGGGACACCGGCGGGACACCGCGCGCCACCGGCCACCCGGAAGAGACACATTTGGTCCGGCCGCGCCTCAGCCACAGGGACACCGACGGGACACTGGCGGGACACCGGCGGGACACCGCGCGCCACCGGCCGCCCGCAGGAGACACATTTGGTCCGGCCGCGCCTCAGCCACAAGGACACCGACGGGACACCAGCGGGACACCGGCGGGACACCGCGCGCCACCGGCCGCCCGGAAGAGACACATTTGGTCCGGCCGCGCCTCAGCCACAGGAGACTTTCCTCTCACCCGCCCACGCAGCTTCGCCTCGCCCGCGCGCACGGCACGCACGAACACGAAACCGAAATCGATTTCCCGGTAGGGGGGCTCTCCGTTCCATTTCGATCTCAACCCCTCACCTCCGATACCTCGCATCGTTCGGCCTCTGTGGAAAATATGTTCCAGGGGGGACGGCTACCAAAATATTACCTGGCGACGAATTAATGATAGTCAGGATCTGGGGGAAGAGGGGGAGGGGGTCATCACGCTTTAACAGGTCTTGAACATTACGTACACCACACATACTGCACCACATGCTTTGCGCCACATACCTTACACCACACAGATTCCCACTCAGAGCCTGCACCACATAGCTTACACCACATAGCGTGCGCCCCGAAGCGTACGCCACGTAGCTTGCACCGCATCGAGTGCACACCCACAATTGAAGGGGCCTTGGGACACACAAATGAATACACACAAATAAAAGGACTCCCCATATTTTCCCATACTTTCCATATTTTCTAGGTTTTTGTCTTCCCCACCACTTCCCATAGTTTCCCATATTTTCCTGGGGTTCGAAGATTAATTGTGTCTGTGTGTGTTTTCCCCTCCTGAACAATACAGCACAACAGCTTGCTGCTTGGGGCCCACGCCGGCACGGACGCTGCACATATATTGTAGAGCAGCGTGCGACCGCCGGCCCGGCTGCGGCACAACAGCTGCCAGAGGGCGGGGGGCTGGAGGAGGAGGAGGAGGAGGAGGAGGAGGAGGAGGAGCGAGGAGGAGAAGGAGCGAGGAGCGAGGAGGAGGAGGAGGAACAGGAGGAGGGGGAGGAGGAGGAGAAGGGGGAGGGGGAGGAGGAGGAGGAGGATGCGCAGCCACGCGCGGGGAAAGGGGGCACCGCGTGCAGGGCGGGGATGGGGCGGTCCCCCGCCCCGGGGGAGGGAGCGCCCCTCCGCGGGAGAAGCCTTCGGCTCCAGAGCGTCGGCGTCGTCGTCGTGGTCGTCGTCGTCGCCGTCCCCCCTTCGGGATCGGCGGCAGCGGCCATGGGGCCTTCGCAGTATATAAGCGTGGGGGGGATCGCGTGCAGGGCAGGGGTGGGGCGGTCCTGCGCGGGCAAAGGGGGCGTTAGATCGCACGGGACGCGGCTTCGACGCGCACGATGAAGGGGGGGAACAGAACGGAATGTCGGGCGGGGCGGCATGCAGGGGCTCCAGAGCTCGGCGTTTCGTGCGTCGTCGTCGCCGTCCCCCCTTCGGGATCGGCGGCAGCGGCCATGGGGCCTTCGCAGTATATAAGCGTGGGGGGGATCGCGTGCAGGGCAGGGGTGGGGCGGTCCTGCGCGGGCAAAGGGGGCGTTAGATCGCACGGGACGCGGCTTCGACGCGCACGATGAAGGGGGGGAACAGAACGGAATGTCGGGCGGGGCGGCATGCAGGGGTGCTCGTTTGTGCACTGTTGTTTCATGTTCGACATGCCCGCGCGGACAATGTTAGATGTTCGACTGCTCCGAGCATGGTTGATCTGGGAGGGGCAGCACATTTAGTCAATATCAATGTCACTGATCATCATCATCATCATCAGCAGCAGCATCATCATCATCATCATCATCAGCATCATCATCATCATCAGCATCATCATCAGCATTATCATCATCATCATTATCAGCAGCAGCATCATCATCATCATCATCAGCATCAGCATCAACATTAGCATCAGCAGCATCTTCACCATCATCATCATCATCACTTGCAGCAGCAGCAACCTACTCACCATCAGCATCAGCATCATCATATCATCATAATCACCATCATCAACAACAGCAGCATCATCGTCGTCATCATCGTCGTCGTCACCACCGCCACCACCATCACCCTCATCCTCATTATCATCCTCCACGTCAACGTCATCCTCGTTGTCATCATCATCATCATCATCATCATCACCATCATCAGCAGCAGCATAAGCATCAGCATCAGCATCATCATCATCAGCATCAGCATCAGCATCAGCAGCATATTCACCATCATCACCACCACCACCATCACCACCACCACCATCATCATCATCATCAGCAGCATCATCGTCATCATCAGCATCATCATCGTCATCAGCATCACCAGAATCACCATCATCAGCATCATCAGCATGAGCATCATCATCATCAGCAGCAGCACCATCATCAGTATCAGTTTCATAACAACCATCAGCATCATCATCATCAGCATCATCATCAGCGTCGTCATCATCATCAGCATCGGCATCAGCATTAGCGGCATCATCATCATCAGCATCAGCAGCATCCTTATCAGAGTCGTCATCACCATCGTCATCGTCACCATCACCATCATCATCAGCAGCATCGTCATCGTCAGCATCATCATCACCATCATCATCATCATCATCATCATCATCATCATCAGCATCATCATAAGCAGCATCAGCATCATCATCATCATCATCATCATCATCATCATCATCAGCACCATCATCATCATCATCATCATCATCATCATCATCATCATCATCATCATCATCATCATCATCATCTTCATCTTCATCTTCATCAGCAACATGCCGTCATCATCATCATCATCATCATCATCATCATCGTCATCGTCATCGTCATCGTCGCCGTCGTTATCGTCATCATCCGCATCATCATTCTCATAATCGTCAGCATCATCAGCATCATCGTCATCATCCTCGTCATCAACATCATTATCATCATCAGCAACATCATCATCAACACCGTCATCATCGTCATCGTCAGCATCATCAGCAGCATCATCAGCATCATCATATTCGTTATCGTCACTATGATAATCAACACAGCCACCGCCACTTTCATCACCATTACCATTATCATCATCAGCATCATCAGCATCATCAGTATCGTCGTCATCACCACCACCATCATCATCAGCATCATCAGCATCACCATCATCATCAGCACCATCATCAGCATCATCAGCATCACCAATGTCATAACCGTCATCACAATCGTCATCATCACTATCACCATTATCAGCATCATCATCATCATCATCATCATCATCATCATCATCATCATCATCATCATCATCATCATCATCATCATCATCATCATTACCACCACCACCATCATCATCGTAATTAGCATCATAAACATCATAAGCATCGTCATCATCAGCATCAGCATCAGCATCAGCCTCAGCAGCATCGTCGCCAAGATCAACATCAGCATCATCAGCATGACCAGTTCCATCATCAACATCGTCATCATCATCAGCATCGTGATCATCATCATCATCAGCACCATCATCATCATCAGCATTACCATCGTCGTCATCATCAGCAGCAACATCACCGTCATCATCATCGTAACAACCATCACAAGCGCCATCATCATCAGCATCATGATAGTCATCATCACCTTCATCATCGTCGTCGTCATCGTCATCGTCATCGTCATCATCGTCATCATCATCATCATCATCATCATCATCATCGTCATCATCAGCATCATCAGCAGCATCATATTCGTCGTCATGATCATCATCATCATCGACAGCACCAGCATCATGATCAGCGACATCATCGTTGTCGTCGTCACCATCAATGCCATCATTCTCAGTTCGCCTCAATCGTGCATACAATACCTGACGTGTTGCAAACTGCAGAACTGCTAGCTGCATGTGCAGATCAGAGTGAGGAGGCCGAACGGATACTCACTGTCCCTGGGTGCGTGGCTGAAATGGGTTCCGCGGTGCAAATTGTTGTTGCGTTGTTGATATGTGTTGTTGTTGCCGTCCCACCGGCGACTCGGCCCGCGACCCACTCGCGACCCACCCGCGACCCACCCGCGACCCACTCGCGACCCACCTGCGACCCACCCGCGACCCACCCTCGACCCACCCGCAACCCACCCGCGACCCGCCACACGACCCCCCCCCGCGCCAGCCCCCCACTCTTATCCGCAACTGGACTCTTATCCGCGAGAAGCGATGACCAAAGTCGCTTCACTGGAGGACGTGAATCATGCAAGTTTGCACCCTGATCCCGTCCCCTGCGAACCCACTGGACGCCCCCACGCTGCCGTTGCCTCTTTCGCCTTTCAGGATCCACGCGGAGCTCGAAGAGCACCCGGTGGTAGGCGCCGTCGCCTGCGAGGCAGTAGCGCGCTGCTCCGTGCTGCCGCTGCTGCCAGCGCTGACGCTGCCGCTGCAGCCGCTGCCAACTGAATGCAGGGCGCACGGTCGACGTGGCCGAACGATCATCACTGCATACAGCCCTCTAGGCGCGCGCGGACGAGTCGCGGCCTCGCCTGAGGGCGGCCAGACAAGCACAGCCGAAGAATCACGGCATGGCCAGATGAGATGGCCGTGCGCGTCTCCGACTGCGTGCGGCGTGCACTTCCCTGACGTGCTGGAACCCCCACCCTGGCGTCTCGGCTTCCGCCGGATGATTCGGCCGTGCAGCGGGCTGGCGCGAGCGACCCCGGCCTGCGCCCTGGCAGGCTCGAACCGCCCGACGCCCCACGTCCCGAGCGCTGTCCGGCCGTGGCCTCCCCCGCCTCGGAGAGCCTCCGCCGGCCGCCGACGGGCAGGCACGAAGAAACGGCTGCATGCAGAAGCGATAGTCCTTCTGCAAACTGAACCAGACTCGCGCCCACGAGGACACAATCCCTTAAAAATGACACAGGAACCGCGCTCCCCAAGGCACAGTCCCGTGCAAATGACGCCAGACGCGATCCCCAAGCCAGAACCACTCGCAAATGATGCGAGAATCGCCCTCCCCAGTGCACAACCCCTTACAGTGCTCAAAAGGCCAACGCTCCCCAAGCCACAACCACTCGTACATTGCACAGCTTCGCGCTCCCGAAACCAATCCCCTGGCCACTTACACAAGACTCGCGCTTCCCTGGCCACAATCCTTGGCAACGTACGCCAAAGATTGGACTCGGGCTGCCCAAGCCACACGTTTAAGTTACACCAGACTCGCGGACTCGCGCCCACGAGGTCACACACTCCCTTCACTGCGACTCCTGACGAGAACTCTCCCGAGTGGATTACAGGATGCTCGCGCTCCCCTCGCCACACTCCCTTGAGAATTGAACCAAATTCGTGCTCCTGAAACCACAATACCACAATACCTGATAAGCTCAGGGCCCTACCCCCCACGATTTCTGAGGGGGAGGGTGGGGTTCACTTCGCTCGAGCGACGACTTCAACGACGTCCTCCTCCTCTGGGCATCTTTCAGGAAAGATGAAGGAAGCACAAGTGGAAGAGCGAGGGAGCAGTGGACCACCAAAGGAGAGAAGACTGTGAGCAAATCTGAGCGTGAATGATCTGAGTGTGAGTGAGCCTGAGTGTGAGTAAAACCCGGTATGTTTGAGTTGAGTACGAGCGAGTCGAGGTATGACAGAGTCCGAGTAAAAATGGGTGTCTGAGTATGCGTAAGTCTGAGCATGAGTGAGTCTGGATGAGTGTGAGTCACAGTGTGATTAAGTCTGAGTGCGAGTGGGTCTGAGAATGAATTGACGAGTATGAGTCTGAAACTGATTGAGGAAGTGATGTGGTTGAGTCTGCGTGCTGAAGAGTGGCTCTGAGTAAGCGTGAGTCCGAGTATGAGTGAGTCAGAGCTGAGTGAGCCTGAATATAAGCGAGTCTGAGTATGAGTGAGTCTGAGTGTGAGTGAGTCTGAGTGCAAGCGAGACTGAGTGCGAGTGAGTCTGAGTTTGATGAGTGAATGTGAGCGTGAGTGTGAGGAAGAGGAGAATGCGGCAGGTTGGGGACCAGGAGGAGGAGGGAGGAAGAGTCGACGCGGTCTGAGTAATAACAATAATCCCATATCATGTTGATATGGAGAAAAAGAACCACGTCTTAGGAAATGGACAAGAGTTGCCTGCATTGGGGTATGTGTTCGGACGACGCGTTTCGGCCCCCTCGTCATTTCCTGGGAATTCGGCTCAGGGCTCGAGGCCACGAATGCTCCTGAATAGCTAGGGGTCCGCGCTCCCGAAGCCTCGAAACCTAGACGTCCGCAACCAGCCAGCCAGCAAACGGCCCAGATCAATAGCCAAGTATCCACCTAGACAACAAGCCAACAAGGCGAGTTGCCAGCCAGCCAACCGACAAGAAAACCAACCGACCTACAAACCAAGCGTGGCCACGCAAGCAATATGAGGGGGGCCGGCGGCAGCCGGCGAAACCCTTCACACAGAACGCGATTGAGTCGAAAAACGATGGTCGGACAAAAACAGCATTTGAAAACTCGTGATGCTTCATCTCAGCGCTTTTTGTTATTACCACCGCTTCTGTATGACCACTGGCTGGCATTACAAACGTGTCGTAATGCTCTCGCTTCTCCCCCCTCCGACCAAGCGGCACCGTAAAGCTCTGGGGAAACCAAAAGATACCGATACCACTACTCCCTGGACCTCTCCCGGGGTGCGTTCTGACCAGAATTTCGAGGCTGATCCAGCGGTGATGACGAGGGCCTCCCAGGAGGCCCAAGAAGGGGAGAACGAGGGAAGTGCAGCTGTATGGGTACCTTTTCCCCCTCTGAAGCTCGGGGCCATCGCCGCGGGGCGGCTAGGCGCCCCGCCAAAGAGCACATGGGGCCGCGCATACCACCGCGCCGTCTCCAGGACCGGCGTGCAGTAGACCTTCCAGGGCCGTGCGGCGGAGGAGCTCAGTGCGGCGCCCCGCCTCCCGAGTCCCGCGTGCACGCATGAGACTCTCATCATCAGTAGCAACAGTACCAGCATCATTATCAACAACATCATCATCAAACTCATCATCATAATCAGCATCAGCATCCGCATCATCCGCATTGTCAGCATCATCACACCCATCATCCTCATACCCATCACCACTATCATCATCATCACCATCATCCTCATCACCATCGTCATCATCATCATCATCATCATCATCAGCATCAGCATCAGCATCACCGCCATCATCGTCATCATCAGCTTCCACTTCTTCTTCTTCATCACCGCCATCAGCATCATCACCATCGTCCGCATCTGCATCATCATCATCCTCCTCAACCCCATCCCCATCCTCCTCATCACCATCATCACCATCATCACCATCATCATCCACATCATCATCATCATCATCATCATCATCATCATCATCATCATCATCATCATCATCCGCATCCGCATCCGCATCATCATCCTCATCCCCATCCCAATCCTCATCAGCAGCATCATCAACAGGACGGGTGACAGGCCTTGGGCGGCTTGCGGCGGCTTTGCGAGGAGCGCGTCGTCCGCAGGAGAGGGATCATCAGCATCATGAGCAGCATCATCAGAATCCACATCCTCCTCCTCCTCCTCCTCTTCCTCCTCATCATCCTCATCATCGTCATCATCAGCATCATCATTATCAGCAGCAAGTTCGGAATCATCAGCATGATCATCATCATCATCATCATCATCATCATCAGCAGCAGCAGCAGCCGCATCATCATCACCATCAACATCATCAGCAGCTCCTTCTTCATCATCCAAAGCATCATCCTCAGCAGCATCATCATCCTAATCATCAGCAGCATCACCATGATCATCAGCATCATCATCATCATCATCATCATCAGCATCATCATCAGAATCAGCATCAGAATCATCACTATCATTACCAGTATGGTCACCACTACCATCACCATCATCAGCATCATCAGAAGAATCATCATCATCACCAGCATCATCAACATCATCATCCGCATCAGCATCACCCCATCATCAGCATCACCCCCCTCCACCTAATCATCATCATCAGCAGACGCATCTTCAGCATCAGCATCCCCATCATCACCAGCATCCTCATCATCCTGGCCATCGCTCGGACGTCCATTCCCTGTATTTTTGTTCGTTTTCGTGCGTGGTTTTTTTCGCCAAATGATCAAGGATGCGCCCCGATGGTCCTCGCCGAAGGAAAAATGCACACGTCCGAGGGATGCCAAGCATCATCAGCAGCAGCATGAACAAGAGCATCAGCATGTTCATCACAAGTATCATGTCAACAACATCACCAGCATCATCATCATCATCATCATCATCATCATCATCATCATCATCAGCAGCATCATCATCATCATCATCATCATCATCATCATCATCATCATGATCATCATCATCATCATCATCATCATCATCATCAGCATCATCAGCATCATCATCATCATCATAAATAGCATCAGCATCATCATCATCAGCATCCTCATCATCACCATCCTTAACATCATCATCATCATCATCATCATCATCATCATCATCATCATCATCATCACCATCACCATCACCATCACCATCACCATCACCATCAGCATCATCATCCGCATCATCAGCATCAGCATCATCATCAGCACCATCAGCGTCATCGTCAGCATCATTGTCATCAGCATCGTCCCCAGCATCATCGTAATCAGCATCATCATCATCATCATCATCATCATGAGGATCAGAATCGCCATAATTGTTAGCATCATCAGCATCGTTATCATCAACATTATCAGTATCATCATCATCATCATCATCATCATCATCATCATCATCAGCCTCATCATCGTCATCAGCAACGTTATCATCATAACCATCGTAACCATTATCAGAACCAGCATCACAGTCATCGTCGGCATCATCATCAGCATGATCACCACCATCATCAACATCATCATCATCATCATCGTCATCGCCATCAGCATCATCATCATCATCAGCATCAGCATCATCAGCATCATCATCAGCATCAGCATTATGATCAGCATCATCATCATCATCATCATCATCATCATCATCATCATCATCATCATAAATATCATCCTGCTCCTCCTCCTCATCCTCCTCCGTCCTCCTCCGTCCTCCTCCATCCGCCATGTTGTTTCCTGCCCCTCCTCCTCCCCCGTTCTCCTCCATCCGCCCTCCTGCCCGTCTCCTCCCTCCCCCTTCCTCCCTCGCCTTCATTCCTGTGAACTCGTCGCTCCTCCCAGCTCCTTTCTCTCACATCCTCCTCCTCTTCGTCCTGCTCCTCATCCTCCTCCTCATCCTCCTCTTCCTCCTCCTCGTCGTCATCATCATCACCATCATCATCATCATCATCATCATCATCATCAGCAGCAGCAGCAGCAGCATCATCAGCATCATCATCAGCATCAGCATCATCATCATCATCATCATCATCATCATCATCATCATCATCATCAGCATCATCATCTTCGTCCTCGTCTTCCTCATCCTCATTCTCCTCTTTCTTCTCCTTGTCCTCCTCCCCCTGCTCCTCCTCATCATCTGCATCAGCATCACTACCGACACCGCCACCTCATCATCGTGATCATCCTCAACAGCAGCATCATCAGCATCATCATAATCATAATCATGATTATCATCATCATCATCATCATCATCATCATCATCATCATCATCATCATCATCATGAGCAGCTTCGTCATCAGTATCATCATCAGCATCATTATCAGCATAATCATCATCAGCTGCTCCTTCTTCATCATCAGCAGCATCATCACCATCATCATCGTCCTCGCCCTCCGCCTCCTCATCATCCTCATCATGATCACCATCACCATCACCATCACCATCACCATCATCATCATCATCAGCATCACCACCATCATCATCATCATCATCATCGTCATCATGAACATCATCATCGTCATCATCATCATCCTCAGCCTCAGCCTCATCCTCATCCTCCTGATCATCATCAGCATTGTCAACTATATCCTCCACACCAATTTTATGTTAATCCTAATAACTGTCCCGTTACTCCTCCTTGTCATCCTCGTCCTCCTCCTCCTTCTCTTCCTCCTCCTCCTCCTCCTCCTCCTCCTCCTCCTCCCCCTCATCCTCCCACATGTTTCCTCCAGTGGTCTCGTCCTTCCTCCCAGTGAAGCCAAGGTTTCAACAACACTTGAATATGTATTGAGTTGACCAGACTAGCGACTCAAGACTCAAGACTCAAGACCGCGAAACAATTGAATATCGATGTACTTGTGTTGGCGGTCGGGTTCAATCGCGCAGCCAAACTGCTTCCTGAAACAAGACATTCGAAACCAAAGTGCGTGATATGTGATCCCAGTCGAGGGTTCATAGCCCTCCACGATGGGATGGGCCCCAGGGTTCCAAAGCCCCCCACCCAAGGTGGGATTGTGGGGGGGAACGACGATGACGACGACAACGACGACGACACAAATGCCGGCGCCGGCGCCGACGCCGACGCCAACGCTGACGGAAGACGACGACGACGACGACGACGACAACGACGACGACGACGACAAACCACAACACACCCACAGAAGGAGGGGGGAGCATCAGAGCCCTCCACCACGCCACGCTCACAGGGCTGCGACCACTTGGGGGGGTTGGCATCGATCTCATTCGCGAGGCCTTCGCAAGGCTCACGGGCATACCCATCCAGCGAGAGGGGTGGGGCTCGTTTCCGTACGCATTGGGGGGCCACCCTGGGCCACTTTCATCTATATATATATATATATATATACACACACACTCGAATCCGAGATCAGGCAATCACCAGGCGGAGGACTATAGAATGAGCAAGAAAAACAATAGTGGCACACGTCCCTGACACCAGGGACCCGGCCTCAGGTTACACCGACGCCCACGGAGAAAGTCAAATACTGATCAGAATCGAAGCCCGAAGAAAGCACTCTTAGCATAGCTGTTCTGATACGCGTTCCCGTCTAGGCACGGCGGAAACGTGTCGTTTGCCCAATCGTCAGAAGCGGGGCAACGCGCGAAATAGCGAACTGGCGTTCCCGCCCAAGCGCGCCGCTGATTACGTCTGAAATTGGGGACGGCAAACGATTATTGCTCGCAGAAACGTCAAACGCGGGGCCGCGCCCGCCAGAGCGAAGTGTCGTTTACGCCCAAGCGCTGCGCGGACTTCAATTGAGAGCTGCGTTCCCGCTCGTGCGCGGCGCATGGCTTGCCGTCGCCAATCCGTTCGTAAACACGGCTGCGCACTGAAGAACTGAATAGTGTTGTCGTCGAAGCTTCGCGCAAAGACTTTGGAAGCCTGCCCTGTACTTTCCCTCGCTGGCACTGTGACAACCTCAGTCTCTGGTCTGCAGACTGCTCCAGCCCCTATCGGCACCCAGCCCAGCGACGGTTTGCGCGGGCAGGGGGGCGCGACCCCAGGCTCCCAGAAGTCGTGGCCGGATGCTTTGTCGTTGGACCTGGAGGGGGGGCAACGGAAAATGGCACGGCGTTGCCAAGAGTGCCGAAAGTGTCCCGGGATTTCCCGGGACCCCCCCACGGCCTCCAGCACAATCTACGAGGCCAAAGTGGGCCCAGAGGTTCCAAAATGGTGCGAAAAGCTGGGAACACCTTTGGCAAGAGACACGTTTGGCAACCCCCGGAGATGGAAGGATGAGAGAAGCGAAGGACGGGAAGCGAGGGGAAGGAAGGGAAGATGAGAGAAGAGGGGACCATAATGGCGGGAGGCGGAAGGGAACAGGAGGGAAGGGAGGAGCGGAGCGGACAGGGGGCGTGACCAGTGAGGGATTCAATGGAAGAGAAAGCGTCGAGGAGGATCGACGACGCGAGGAAGAAGGCCACGCGGGAGAGGGGAAGCGAGGTGAGAGGGTCACCGATCGGAATGGGGGGGCGACGATAAACACACGCATGCGCATCCTCAACGAGACCTAATAGCGGCGCGATTACCATGAAAAGGGAAGAATGAAGCGACGGCGATCCCCCTTTCCATGGGCAGCGGTGCCGGAGGCCCTGCACGCAGGGCACCTGCCACTCCCAGGAACTTGACTTGACCCCCCTCTCTGCGATGGGGGCGGGTCATCAGCAACGCCGAAGGAAGCGAGATAGGAGGCCTGGAGGCGAGAGGGGGCGCTGGGACCCCCACCCTGGACACTGCGAGCGCTGGGGGCCAGACCGCTGCTCACCCCGCTCCTTCCCCCCTCTCGCTTGCCACGCCGCCGCCTCTGCGCGCCGCTCGAACGCGCGCAGAGGCCGAGGGGCGCGGCCTCGAAGCCCCACCCAGCCTCCACGGGGCCCGGGCCCCCACCCCCGCCCGCGGCGGAACGGCGAGGGCCCCCGAACGGAGGGGGGCGCACCGGCCGCCGCTCGGAAACTCCCCCTGCGCAGGGGCCGCCGCCGAGCCCCACCCAGCTCGCGACCCAGGGCGCCCGGTCGACATCCCCTCGGCCGGGATCTATCCCAAGCGGCCACGCGCGACAACACCGCGGCGCGCGGAGGGCGCCGCCTGCTGAACCGCTCGCGGGCCGCCGCCTCCTCGCCGGCATCTTCTCCCGCCAGGGGGGCGTTGCCGCGACCGCGCCGGCTCCGCCCCCGCGATCTCGCCCTCGGCGCGCTGAGCGGGGCTGCCCTATGAGACGGCCGCCCTCTCCTCGGCGGTCGACTCGCGGCGCCCCTTGGCGGCCAACGTCGCCGCGTCGAGCACGCGCCCCCCGCGGGTCCGCGGCCGCCACGCGGAGCCCGAGATACTCGCCGAAGTTCGCCTTCTCCACGCTGCCGGGGTCGCCCGCCCCCCGGCCCGCCTCGCGCGGCAGCAACCCTGGGCCCCGCCCCGCCATGAACGGGCCCCGACCGCCGAGAGCTCGGCCAGGAGAACCGCCACCGTCCGCTCGTTGGGCTCGTTCCTGGGCACTGCACTGGCGCCCCCCAGGCCATCTGCTGGACCCGCCCTGTCGAAGGCCGCCCTCGGGCGGAAATCTCCGGGCCTCGGGGGCGGCCCCATGCCGGGGAACGCGCCGAAGAGCGACCGCCAGGCCTCTCGCGCCGTCTGCCCTGCCCGCGCACGAGCAGAGGAGGGAAGGAGGGGGGGGGCATCTCCCCAGCTGCCCGCGCGCGCCGGCGAGCTCTTCGCACGCCGCCGCCCAGCGGCGGCCCCCGGCCACCTAGCCCCACGAGCGGCCCCTCCAGACCAAGACCATTCCTCGGGGATCGGGCTCGGGGCACCCCCATGCCGCCCGCGCCCCCGAGCGATCCGCGACGCGAATGGCGCAGTCAACGCGGAGGCCGAGCCCGCCCGTCTCGGGGCAGCACCGCGCCTTGGCCCTTTGCGCCGGGAAGCCGAAGGGCGCCGAGACAGGGCGGCATCACAACGCAGAGGGCGCGTGTCCCGATGCACCGCGAGCTCGATCGAACTGCCTCGCCTCGATCGCCTTCAGGCATCGACGTCTGCAATCTGATCCACGGGGCAGTCGCAGCGCCGGGCTGGCCCCGAACCTTCTGGCCCCCCGTTCTGGGGCGCCCGATCTGCCAAAAGAGAAGTCGACGCTGTTGCCGTGGATCTCGCCTTCGATAACGCTGGCCAGCAGGCCCCGCGCGCCCTCGCGGACCTCCACGGGCCGCCACGCCGCGCGCGCGGCTGCGGGCGGGGGGGGGGGCGGCGACGCGCCAACGCGCGGGCGGGGCTCGCGCCCCGAAGGGTCGCAGGGAGCCCCGCCGCCGCTCGCGCCTGCGTCCGCCGCCATGAGAGGGGGCCCCTCGGCTGAGCTTCGCCAGCACCGCCGAGGGGCGCCTCCACGTTCGCGGCGACCCGACGGGCCACTGACCGAGCAGAAGGCCTGGCGTAAGGGCCCTGGCCTGCCACGCGCTCCGCGCCTGCTTCAGCGCGTCGCGCCTGGCTGGGCGCCGTCGGCCCTGCGGCTCGGCAACCCGGGCGCGCGCGCGCAGCCCATCAGGCGCGCCCCGCGACGCCGCCCCGCGCCCGCCCAGGGTCGACGCAGGACCGCGCCGCCCCAAGCGAGGGCGCCCCCATATCCACGAGCAGCACAACCAGACGAAGCTTCCAACGAGACCACTCCTGCGCCTCCCGCCCGAGACGGCTCTCCCGTGCAGCCGCGCGGCACCGCCAAGAGACGGGCCCCCGCCATTGCGCGGCGTTGGCGCCGCAGACGCCCCTCGGCTGGCCGCACCCTCCAGCATGGTTCGTACAAGGCAGCCCCAGGGTGTCCTCAGCCGCCCCTGCACTGGCCAGCCACTGCCTGGTTCACGAACGCCCTCGGCGGCCGCCGCGCTACCCCCCGGCTGAGGTCCGCAGCCGCCGCCACCTGCGCGAGCGCCCCCTCGGCCTCGTCCGCCTGATGCCTCGGGCGCGAGCCGGAGGAGATTGTTTCTGCCGGCGCTTCTACGCGTGCTCCCCGTCTACCGCCTGGTCGACGAGCTCCCTCAAAGGCACCTCCGTCGCGCCGGGGCCCTCCGCCGCCGACCTCCAGCCTGCTCGAGCGGCCCCCGACCGCTTGCCCGCCTGTCAAACGCACCCGACGCGGGCTGAGGAGGCGGTAGCAATGGATCGCTCTGCTGACTTCCATCGTCGCATCTGCACCTGCCCATCGTCTACCGCCCGGCCAACGAGCTCACACGGCGGCGCCCCCATCGCGTCGAGGCCCTCGGCCGCCGCCGCCTTCTCGAGCGCACCCCAAACGCAGGCCCGCCTGCAAGAGCGCCCGCCGCGGGCCGAGGAAGTAGCGGCCGTGGAGCACCTTGCTGACCTCCGCCGAGCGGGCTGCTCTCCGCGGCGGGGCGCTCCTCCTCCGCGCACCTGCGCGCCCGCTTTCCTCCGCGCGGCGTCCTCCGAGCAACTCCGCGCGAAGCCCCCCCCCTCCCACCTTGGGCAGCGGGTCTCTCGATCAACCCACCCATGTCCAACCCCGCGTACTCGACAAGCCGCTGAAGCAAGCGTCGAAGTCGAGGGGGGCCCGGGCGGGGGCAGTCTGAGATCCGGGTTTCTTGTCGCTGGTCGCCAGTCCTCCTCCTCCTCCTCCTCCTCCTCCTCCTCCTCCTCCTCCTCCTCCTCTTCCTCCTCATCACCATCTTCATCATCACCATCGTCATCAGCATCATCATCACCACCACCACCACCATCATCATCATCATCATCATCATCATCATCATCATCATCATCACAATCACCATCATCATCATCATCAGCAGCAGCATCAGTATCATCATCATCGTCACCATCATCACCAGCATCATCACCATCAGCACCATCATCATCATCATCATCATCATCATCATCATCATCATCATCATCCCCCTCCTCCTCCCCCTCCATTCTTTCTCGTAAAACAACTTCTCCATGTCGCACCCCGAGGCAAGTTTCCAAGGCGGCCCGGGCGTTTCGCCTGAGATATCCTCACCATTTATGGCCCTGAAGCTTTAAAAACGGAGACAGATTTACAAATGGAGGGCGGGCGGTTTTCAAAATGTAGCTCTCACCATAGCGCCGCGCACATTCGTTTTAAAAGCTGACCAGTTTTTCATGGATTGACGGCGGGTGGTTTTCAAAATGTTGATCTCGCCTTTGCGCCGAGCATATTCGATTGAAAAACTTGCAACAGCTTCACGGGTTGAGGGTGGGTCGTTTTCAACATGTGGCTCTCGCGTTAGCACCGCGCACAATCTCTTTAAAAATGTGCAAGAGTTTCACGGATTGAAGGCGGTTCCTTTTCAAAATGTAACTCTCGCACCAGCGCCGCGCACATTCGTTGTAGAAATTGCAAGAGCCCCACGGGTTCCCATGATCAGCGCATCAAAAACTGTGCTGTTGGAACGAGTCTGGATAATGAGGGCGCAACAGTTGCGTTGATTCGATGCGTACAAATCTCAGGGATCGTGTTCTGGCACGATTCAACATCGCCAAGACGCAACGGTCAAGGTTGATCCGTGGCGTTGGAATCCCGAGAACATTGCTTTGGCATGTTTCAGGGTCTTCAATCGGTTGTCGTCCAACGAAGCAAGGGTTGATTCCATAATCGTTGATGACTCTGGGGTTTCCCCTGGTCCTCCTCCTCCTCCCCCTCCTCCTCCTCCTCCTCCTCCTCCTCCTCCTGCGAGCGCCGAAGCCTGGTCTGTGCCGTCGCCCGCGCCAGCGCCCGCATTGAGCTTCGCCAGCGTCGCGTCGAACCGGCAGCCGCCCTCCTTCGGTCCGCGCAGCCGCGCGGGCTCGGCCAGCAAGCACGGCAGCCAGGGCAGCGCGCTCGCCAGGCAGGGCCGCCTCCGCGCCCAGCGCGGTCTGGAGCTGGCGAGCGGTCGCGGCTTGCTAGGCTCCTCCTCCTCCTCCTCCTTTTCTTCCTCGTTTTCTTGACACTATTATTATTATACTCTTCTCATGTGTATCATTATTATTCTTAGTGTTATTATTGATATTATCAGTATTAGTATTTGTAATACTATTAGTAACAAAATTATTGTTAATAATATTCATGGTATTCTTAGTAGCCTTAGCATTCTTAGTCTTATTAGTATTAGTATGAGTATTATTCGTCGTCGTCTTATTAATGTTATGTTTCTTCTTAATAATATGATTATTATAGTTCGCATGATTCTTATTCTTAACACTATGCATATGTGTAAAATTATTTTTATTATTAGTATTAGTGTGTTTTTCTTAGTCGCATTATTCTTAGTAGTCTTATTCGTTGTATTATTATTGATATTGGTATTATGTTTCTTCTTCGTCTTATTATTAATATCAATATTATTGTTAGTATTAATAGTATTCCCTACCTAAGCTCTGCCTAGAAGGGTTCTTACTCTCTTTGCTTAAAGGGCCGGGCAGTGCTAACCGCCCCGGGCGGTTCCCCCAGTCCACGCCCCGCGGTTCCCCCAGTCCCCTGGGAGCTTTAGCCTTAGCTTTAGCTTTAGCTTAGCTTTACCTTTAGCTTCAGCTTTAGCTTAGCTTGAGCTTAGCTTTAGCTAGTATTAGCTTAGCTTTAGCTTAGCTTTAGCTTAGCTTTAGCTTAGCTTCAGCTTAGTATTAGCTTATCTTTAGCTTAGCTTTAGCTTAGCTTCAGCTTAGCTTAGCTTATATTTAGCTTAGCTTTAGCTTAGCTGTAGCTTAGCTTTAGCTTAGCTTTAGCTTAGCTTTAGCTTAGATTTAGTTTAGCTTTAGCTTAGCTTCAGCTTAGTGTTAGCTTAGCTTTAGCTTAGCTTTAGCTTAGCTTTAGCTTAGCTGTAGCTTAGCTTTAGCTTAGCTTTAGCTTAGCTGTAGCTTAGCTTTAGCTTAGTGTTAGCTTAGTGTTAGCTTAGTGTTAGTTTAGCTTTAGCTTAGTGTTAGCTTAGCTTTAGCTTAGCTTTAGCTTAGCTTTAGCTTAGCTTCAGCTTAGCTTTAGCTTAGCTGTAGCTTAGCCTTAGCTTAGCTGTAGCTTAGCTTTCGCTTAGCTTCAGCTTAGCTTTCGCTTAGCTTCAGCTTAGCTTTAGCTTAGCTTTAGCTTAGCTTTAGCTTAGCTTTAGCTTAGTTTTAGCTTAGCCTTAGCTTAGCTTTAGCTTAGCTTTCGCTTAGCTTCAGCTTAGCTTCAGCTTAGATTTAGCTTAGCTTTAGCTTAGCTTTAGCTTAGCTGTAGCTTAGCTTTAGCTTATAGTTAGCTTTAGCTTTAGCTTAGCTTTAGCTTATATTTAGCTTTAGCTTCAGCTTAGCTTCAGCTTAGCTTTAGCTTAGCTTTAGCTTAGTGTTAACTTAGCCTTAGCTTAGCTTTAGCTTAGCGTTAGCTTAGCTTCAGCTTAGCTTTAGCGTAGCTTTAGCTTAGCTTTAGCTTAGCTTTAGCTTATCTTTACTGTTACTACTAATGCTGCTATCCTAGGGGTTCCAACTCCTAGGTAGGGTCGCACTGGGATAATTTTTATTATTCGTATTCGTCTTCGTCTTCGCTTTCGCTTTCGTCTTATTCTTATTATTATTTTTCTTATTGTTATTATGATTATCCTTCTCCTCCTCCTCCTCCTCCTCCTCCTCCTCCTCCTCCTCCGCGAGCTCCGCACCCCAGCGGCGCGCGGGGGCGCCGGCCGCCGCGGCGGCCGCGGCAGGGTCGTCCCCGGCGAGCAGCTGTGCGCGGTCCCGCGCCAGCAGGCGCAGATGCCGCAGGGCGGCCGGGCCGTGGCGGCCGCCCGTCTCGAGCGCTAATCGACGACGCAGGCCACCCCTGCCAGCCTCGTCCTGCGTCGGCCACCATCCGCCAGGGCGCGATCGACGCTAAATCGGCACTCATCGACTCTGAATCGGCGCTAATCGGCGCTGAATCGGCGCTTTCTCGTCGATTAGCACACGCCAGCGCACGCGGAATTGCGAGGACATGCCAGGCTCCCAGGCGAGGACGTACGCTACAAGATTCTTGAGCGCGCGCGCGTCGCCCGGTTGGCGGGCGACGCACACAGCACATACAAATATGTCTGGATGGCGCCGAGCAGACGCCGCAGCGCGGCGCCGCGCCCGCAGAACCTTGGCCGCGCGCACAAGGGGGCAGGGGGATGGCGGAAGGCTTCTTACAGGGCGGCGGCTGCCTGGAAGGCGCGGGCCTTGAACTTCATAGGGAACGCCCGCGCCTTCTGAGAAGCAGGGGTGCTTCTAAGAAGCCCTCCCGCGTCCCCCGGACCCCCCTCTGCGCGTGGCCGACAGGAGGAGGAGAAGGAAAGGGAGGGGGAGGAGGAGGAGGAGAAGGACGAGGAGAAGGAGGAGGAGGAGGAGGAGGAGGAGGTGGAGGAGGAGGAGGAGGAGGGAGGAGGAGGAGAGGGAGGGAGGAGGAGGGAGGAGGAGAGGAGGGAGGAGGGAGAGGAGGAGGGGAGAGGAGAGTAGGGAGGGAGGGAGGAGGGGGAGGAGGAGGAGGAGGGAGGGGGGAGGGAGGGAGGAGGGAGGAGGGAGGAGGGGAGGAGGAGGAGGAGGGAGGGAGGGAGGGAGGGAGGGAGGCAGGGAGGCAGGGAGGGAGGGAGGGAGGGAGGAGGAGGAGGACGAGGAGGAGGAGTCAAGCTAGCCAGCTCGAGCGAGTCAAGCATGGCATGCCGATTCCCACCCGCCCTCTCACAACATAAGAAACAGTGCTGACACAACAGGGGACCAAAATCACATCGGCCAGCTGGTTTGGCACAGCTGATGCAGCCGCGATGGCGGTTACCGATGGGAACTCCCCAGCTCGTCTCAAAGGTTGCGCAGGCATTTCAAGACGAGTCGACGAGTCGAGGATGTCCGAGGAGGCCCCAGAAAGCGTCAGGTGGCCCCAGTGAGCCCCAGGATGTTTCAGGACACCCCAGGAGGCCCCAGGCCCCAGTAGGCCTCGAAAGGCCCCGGCGAGTCTCCCCAGGAAGCCCCAGGAAGGCCCAGGAGGCGCCAGGAGCTCCTGCAGGAGGCCCTGGGAAGCCCACGAAGCCCCGGGAGGCCCCAGGAAGCTTCAGGAGACTCCAGGAGGCATCAGGAGGTTCAGGAGGCCCCAGGATGCTCCAGGAAGCCTCAGGAGGCTTCAGGATGCCCCAGGAAGCTTCACGAGGCTTCAGAAGGTCCCAGGATTCCCCAGGACACGCCAGGACACGCCAGGAGACCCTAGGAGACCCCAGGAGGCCCCAGGAGGCCCCAGGAGGCCCCAGGCGGCCCCAGGAAGCCCCAGGAAGCCCCAGTACGCCCCAAGAAGCCCGAGGAAGCCTCAGGAGCCCCCAGGAGGCCGCAAAGAGACCCAAGCGCCAGATGAATTGGCGAACGGAAGCTGTGCGCCGCGCCTAGGCGGGAGCGCCACCTTCAGAAAAAATAAGCGCGGCGCCAAGGCGAGAGCGATATTTCGGCCTTTCGCGCGGGGGTGCGGCGAGCGGCAACTGTGCGCCGCGCCAAAGCGGGAGCGCCACTTTCAGAACAAATGTGCGCGGCGCCAAGGCGAGAGCGACATATTGTCCTTTCGCGCTGGGTGTGCGCCGCGTCCCATTCCTGCCACGCATTGTGCGACATGGACGGCAGGACAACCACGTTGAGAAGAAAAACGTCGACTTTCTATTTTTGCAGGGTAGGATGGGACCCCCCGGATTGGCCCCCTATCGGCCAGGGAGAGGGGGGAGTAGGAGTACACTCCTAAAAGGAATGAGGATAGGAGCAGGAGCAGGAGCAGGAGCAGGCGCAGGAGGAGGCGCAGGAGCAGGAGCAGGAGCAGGAGCAGGAGCAGGAGTAGGAGTAGGAGCCCACCCGGAGGAGTAGGAGTAGGAGTAGGAGTAGGAGTAGGAGTAGGAGTAGGAGTAGGAGTAGGAGTAGGAGTAGGAGTAGGAGTAGGAGTAGGAGTAGGAGTAGGAGTAGGAGTAGGAGTAGGAGTAGGAGGCGGGGGCGCGCACTCCAGCAGCACGCCCGAGTCCAGGACGAGCCAGACCTGGCCGCGCGCGGGCGGCGGGCCGAGGCGGCGAGGAGCTCCGGCGCCGCGCGCGGGCGGCGTGCCGCGCCCGCGGAGGCGTCGGCGTCGGCGTCGGCGTCGGCGTCGGCGTCGGGGCTCGCGAGAGCACGCCAAGAGAATTGGAAGAGGCAAATTACACGGCCCCGAGTGGGGGGGCACCAAGTCAAGCACCCTGCTTGGCCCCAAATGAAATCCAGGGATGAAACCCAGGGAGGCTCCAATTTGACAACCATCGGGAGACAGGAGGGGACAGAAAGCTGAGACGCCCCAAGCTCAACACAACTAAGCTCAGATGACCTGCGCCATGCCAATCTAAGCTTGGATCAGCTACGCTAGGCGCAAGTAAGCCCGCCTACACCATACAACGGCAAGTCATACCATACTACACTGAGCGCTAAAGGGTTAAACCCAACTTGCTTGTTCGTGCCACAGACCCGTCATGGAGCGCAAGGCAAAGCTAAGATGAGCGAGGCCAAGCAAAAAGAGCCTGCCACACCTCGAAGGCCTGCTTGGACTGATCCCTCCGCGGACTTGACTGGTACACCCGCCTGGAATCACTGCGGCTGCGCCATCTGTCTGCTCATGACGAATCTCCTGGGAACAGTTTCTGGATGACGAAGCGCTGATTGACGACCTTCAAGCCTCTATTCGGGCGTGGGTAGAACTGGGTTTAGTGGAACCTGGTTTAATGATCTGTACCGGGGGCGCCCCCCCGTCCCATTTCCGCTAACCGGAGCTGCCGTCACCCGGAAAAACACCAGCTATGGCAAGCCTGGTTTGGTGATTCTGGCCAACTCGAAGGCTCCGGGGCCCTACCACTAAACGGGTCCCCTTGACCGGGGTCCTGGCCGTACCCGATCCTTTCCGAGACACCCCGAAAGCGCCTGCCCTTTCGCGCCGGTCGGCCACCGAGAACCCCACCGCAGGGCCCTCCTCCGGGGAGGGGCCACACGGGGCCTCCTCGAGGTGGCCAGAGTCCACCACACAGAGCCAGGTCGGGCGTCCCCCTACAGGCGGATTCTGGACGAAGAAATATAAACACCCCACACACATATATATATATATACACACACCAAAAATGGTCCAAAACTGCCCGAAAAATCGTCCCCGGACTATGTTTTGACAATTTTTGAACTCTCCTCCTGTGGAGGGACACGCCCGACTTGAACACACGGGGGTGGGCAGCGTGAAGCTGCGAGGCATCCTCGGTGAAGAAGTGAGTGCAAAGAAAAGCTTGGGGGGCGTAGTCGGGAGCGGCCAAGAGGGGGGTGTCCCAGAGGGGGGGGTGCAAATCATGACTGGCGGCATGTGCGCGGCCCAGCGGGGGGGCCAGGGACATAATGAAATAAGAAGAGGCGCCACGAAATCTGGGAAAATATCATGGCCCCCGCCATGATATCCACCCCCCCTAGTCATCACCCCCCTCTTTTCCGCCCCCGACGTAGGGGGAAGGGAGAGCTCGTCCTCCGCCGCGCCCCCGCTGGCCCAGGCCTGCCCTGGCCAGCTCCCGGGCTTCAACCCAAGGGGGGGGCTGTTCGCTGGCCGCCCACGCTCCACCCCGCCCACGATCCTCACGACGCTGAGGATGCGCGCCCGTGTCGACCACGGGACACCAAGCACACTGCAACCACTGGGGCCAACCCACGGCTCGCGGTCGGCCAACGTGCGACCTGCGTGCTCTCGGAGGAGGGCAACGTGAGACAGCGGCCGTGAGACAACGGTGGCCAAATCGGCTCAAAATCGGACCCTGGACCCCTCCCGGGGTCCAAACGCACCGATTTTTCACGCTGCGTCCAGCCGTGGCGACGAGGAGGCCCCTCGGAGGCGAAAAAGGCAAAAACGTCACCCTTGTCTCACCCTGCCCTCCTCTGATGCTCGCCCACGGAGGCCCAGGCCGGCGAGGGGGGCGGGAGGGGGCAAGCCTGCCGGCGCGCGCGCGCGCGCCCGGGCCCCCACAAGCTCGCCGGCCCGGCCGCGTACCACCAGGTGCCGTGGAAGGCCTGGCGCGCGCCCTGCCGCGCCCCGCGGAGAGGCCCCGAGGCTCCGACATGGGCCACGACTCCTGCGCTCCACAGATTACCAGCCTCGAATTTATCCCTATCCCTAAGATTGACACGCCAAAAGGCGATGACAATCTTAGGGATACGCCCTCAAAAAATAAGGGAATCCCTAAGGTTGGCATCGTGATGAGGAGATGCCCAGCATAGGGACAGGGGCATGTTCCAGGCTGGCAAACAGAACTCACATCGCCAGACTGATGCGTAGCACGGACAAGACCAGGATCATGAATGGCACGCTGCAGACCACGGACCTCGTCGTGCGGTGTGATTGGAGCACCAGCTCGCGGATCTGGAATAAAAACAAGCTGTTCGAACAGCCACTGGATGTCACACAGGCATCGGCGAATGCATGTTCCTGGACCGATAGGTCCCACCATTCTTCTGGGCGGCCGATGGCCTAGGGTTGTCCCCTAAGCTCCACTCTGAAATCCTTGAATCCTTCGGGGAGAAGAGATCTCCACCCCTCCCACTTACCCCTGCTCATGTTCACACCTCGTCTCTAAGACCAGCGACGGCGATGTGCACAAACAATAATAGACTTACAACTGCGCAAATTTTGGATGCCGTACATGGCCCCCCAAAGACCGGCTCACTCTTCCACCATCCACCGTTCTTCCCAACAGAACCCAAGACGGCCTAAAGAGGGACGCAAGACGGTTCCGAGAGGCTCGCAAGACAGCCCAAGAGGCCCCCCGAGAGGCGTCCAAGAAGGCTCACGAGGACGAGGCCCCTTCGATGGCCCAGGAAGCCCGTGAGAGGGCACGGCCCGAGGGGCATCCGTGAGGCCCCCCCAGGGCAGGCCAAGACGCCCCCCAAGACACCCCGGGGAGGCCCGCCGAGGGGGTCCGAAAAGGGGTGCCCACGAGGCATCCAGGGTGGTCGAAGAAGACCTCAGACGGCCCAGTGGCCCACCCCCGGGTCCGCAGAAGACAGCCTGGAGGAATGGAGGCCTGGAAATAGGCACCAACACCAAGACAGGGGGCTGCCTCCACAGGGGAGAGATGATCCTAGATTTCGGTGTTGGTGGTAATACTTCGGTCACCTTGAAGCCAGAATATTACCACCATCACCGAGATCGGTATCTTCTTTCCTCGGTGGAGGAGCACCGCCGATATTGGTGTTGGTGTCAACCTCTAGGCCTGCGAAGGAATGCCATGAGGCTCCCAGGGCGGCCCACAAAAGAGGCCCGCGAGACGTCCGGAGGCGGCCAGGAAGCCGCCCAACGATCCTGGTGCCCTCCCGAGGCCCCCGAGAGCAGCGCGCAGGCCCGAGAGGCCACCGGGGCAGGACAACATGTCCCGCTGAGGAAACGGCCGAGGCGGACCCCGAGAGACTGGCGAGAGAGCTGCTCACGCATGGCGTAACACTGCGTTCGCTCTGGCGCTGCATTTTCGCCCGCTCCTCCCGAGCATCGCCACCCTCGCCCTTCTTGCCAACACTAAAGTGCATCGGACCCAACCATGTCGCACAAAACTGGACCGTGTTGCGCGAGCTCAGTAGAAGGCAGAAAATCCACTCCCATCAGAATCACCCCAACACGCGAAGCCGTTCAGCAATCGCACCCCAAGAAAGAACCAAACAGGACAGGCCTGCTTAGAAAACGCCCAGGGCCAGCTAGCAAACGCCAATTGTCCGGTCCGGGTGGTTTTTCCTCCCCTGACCCCTTGACTCAAAACGTACGAGCGAGACTCACGAGAACCGACAGAACCACACAAGACCGCTCAGGAACAGACCGGGCAGAAGCCCGGAGAGGCCTGGACAGAACACACCAAAGGGTAGCGGGCCCACCACGTGTCCGCGGGCCTGCCTCGCCCGAGGGATGACTGCGGACACGGCGGTGGCATGGGCGAGCTCGAAACTAAGAAGGACGAGCGCAGGAACGGCCTCGTGCTGTAACCCTGCGCCGCCTACAGGACTTGGGGCCGCACCCCGGGAACGCCATTGGCACATCGACGCTACCTGAACGATCTGCAGGGCGTCGGTGGTGGACTGGACCATAATGTAAGCTCGCGTCTTCCAGTTCAGCTGCACGCGCTTTTGCTTTGAGAGTGCGGGCAGTAGGGAAAAGAATGTGGATTGAGAGAGTCAAGGCAAACTCTGATGATGGCAGCTCCTCTGAAAGGTAGTTTTCGCATACGCTCCTCGCCTTGTGGCGACAAGCGTGTGACGTGAGACGTCATGGCTACAACTTAAGATTGATAGAGGGATGGCCTGCTCGCACGCGCACTACTGCTGCATGTCTCTAAGAGCTGAATGTCAAAATGATGGCCCGTCTGGACCATTACGTACTCAGGCACACAAGGACATCAAGAAACCACTGCAATTCCAAAAAAGGCCGTTGCATGCTAGTATAGAGCGACATGCTAGCCAGCGTGAGCCCCAAACGGTGAGTCATTGCAGTGGAGGTGAAAGCTATGCGGTGTAGGCTGTGTGGTGAAAGCTGTATCGTGTAAGCGATGCAGTGTGGACTATGCAAGTAAAAGCTATGCGGTGTGTAGTACGCAAGTGAAAGCTACGCGGTGTGAGTTATGCGGCATAAGCCACGTAGCGTAAGCTATGCGGTGCGAGCGAGAGGTGACAACTATGCGGTGTGAGTTGTGCGGTGTACGCTATGTCGTGCAAGCCATGCCGTGTAAGCCAGGTGGTGTGAACTATGCGGTGTAAGCTATGTGGTGCAAGATAGTCCGTGTAGGCCATGTGGGGTAAGCTATGCGATCTAAGCTATGCAGTGCACGCTATGTGGTGCAAGCTGTGTGGCGAAAGCTATGCGGTGAACGCTACGTGGTGTAAGATGCGCGGTGCAGGCTCAGCGCACGCGGCGCCCAGAGGGCGCCCACGAGGCGGCACGGACGGCAACGTGGCGGATCCTCGCGAACCCACCCAGCGCACTCGGCGCCCACGAGGCGCCCACGAGGCGGAGCAGGCGACCACGTGGCGACTCCTCGGGGAACCCGCCCAACGCGCTCGGCGCCCACGAGGCACCCCCGGGGCGCCCACGCGGCGGCCACGCGGCGAACCCTCGGGGCACCCGCCCAACGCACTCGGCGCCCACGAGGGCGCCCACGGGGCGCCCACGAGGCGGCCACGCGGCGAAGCTTCGGGGAGCCCAGCCAGAGGCGCCCACGAGGCGAATCCTCGGGGAGCCCAGCCAGAGGCGCCCACGAGGCGAATCCACGGGCAGCAGCGCGGGGGCTGCCTCGGGAAACCCGCCCTGCGCACGGGGCGCCCGCGCGGCGGCCCCGAGGCGGCGCGGGCCCGCGACGTGGCGGAGAACTCGGAAAGCCAGCCAACTCCGTCCGCGACGCAGATGAGACCCCTCAAGCACAATTTTTTGGGTCGCGGGCAGACGCGTGAAGCTGTCGCCGAGAAGGGGGTCCGGGGCACGGGCCAGCCGAATTAGCTACTGAGCGACGCGCAAGACGGCCGGGCCAGCGCTCAGAAGCGGCGGCTGAGGGGCAGCTGCAGGTGGAAGCCCCTTAAGTACAAGCAGTGTTTAGGGGAACCGTGGGTGTGTGTGAGACCCAGGTGGTCTAAGCTTGATGTTGCAGGGTCGAGGGCGCAAACCAAGGGGGGTGCAAGCCCGTCCTGCGGGGCGCGCCCTGCGGCGCACAAGCCAGGCGGTGCAGGCTCCGTGCTGCGGGCGGCCGTGGGCGGGCGGCCACGGGCGGCCCCGGGAACGGCCACGAGGCGGCCACGGGGCGGCCACGGGGCGGCCACGTGACCCACCCAGGCCAAGAAAGGGGCACCCGGAGGCAGAGGAAGAACGCGCGAGGAGGGCAAAGAGCCTCGGATGGCAGGAGAGCGGCGGCCGGCGAAGAGTACGAGAGCGCGCAGGGAGAAGGAGAGGAGGAGGAGAAGGAGGAGGAGGAGGAGAAGAAGAAGAAGAAGAATAATAATAATAATAAGAAGAAGAAGAAGAAGAAGAAGAAGAAGGAGAAGAAGAAGAAGAAGAAGGAGAAGAAGAAACCGATTGAAACACGGCGCCTCTTCAGATTGCCAACTTTGCGCGCCCAGACGCTCGCAATCAGACGAAGGCAGGGCGTGCTTCAAAGAAGGTCAACAAGACCACATCGGGCCACATGACACTACGCCCGACCAGATCGGATCCGACCGGACGCGCCAAAACGAACCCAGACAACACCAGGCAAAACTATTTAGCGTTGTCCCTCACAAGCAATGACTAGACACTGGTGGCCGGATTGGCGGGTGGGGACACGCGACACAATTAGAATGATTGGTTGCATGTTCGTCGAAACGTAAACTGCCGTCACACTTGCCAGTCTCCCCGCTCAGCACCGAAACTCAACACATCCGAGTGTCCAATTCGAAGTCGAAATGTGTCGGGCTGATCTCGATTGAACTCGTCGGGGCGTATACTGGGAGCCTGCTGGTGAGAGCTCTGCCGGTTGGCACCTCATATTGTGAAGGGACCCCAGGACACACAAATAAATGCACACAAATAAAAATATCCACCATATTCTCCCATATCTTCTGGGTTTCTGTCTTCCCCCCCATTTCCCAGATTTTCCCATATTTTCTGTGGACTCGAGGATTAATGGTGTCTGTGTGTTTTTTCCTCTCCTGATATTGGACGATCCGTGTTCGCACCCGTCGCTGCACCTGTGGATCTGGACGCCTCCGCTCTCGTCGAAATATTCCGTTCTCGTTTATGACTACCTACCAGACCACCCCAACCCAACCCGAAGACCCGCATTTCGGGTTGGGGGGGGTACGGGTTCCATCTGTGTTTGTTCAATGTTCCCCCAACACCGCCCCCACTGGAAATGGAGGGCAAATTGAGGCCTTCGGGTTGGGTTGGGGTGGTCTGGTGGGTGGTGAGTTTAAACAGCCTCAATCGAAGGGTCATGTGTGCTGTGCGACTGCGTCTACGGCACACTGGCCATCTGCGAAGCCATGTTGGTTTCACTGCCTTTTTGCCGCGACGCGATGCTCCGCATTTCCGAGCCATTAACCTTGAAATTGGACCAGTCGATGGAAGAGAAAGTCCGATGAGTCATTGGCGGCGAGCGAGGGGGGAACTGAGAAGGAGGAGAAGGCCCTCTCAGAAGGCGGCGGGACCTCTCAGAAGCCCTCGCGCCCTCTGAGAAGAGTCTGTCTTTAGGGGAAGGTTTATCAAACTTCTCAGAAGGCCGGGTGACTTCCGAACCTTCTGAGAAGGCCGAGAAGGCCTTCTCCTTCTCACTTCCCCCTGAGAGGGAGGAGGAGGGGGAGGAGGGGGAGGAGGAGAGGAGGAGGAGGAGGAGGACGAGGAAGAGCAGGAGGAGGAGAAGGAGAAGGCCTGAGAAGGCCTTCTCCTTCTCCTTCTCACTTCCCCCCTCGCTCGCCGCCGAGCTGCTCCCCAAACCTCTCCTGGGGCGCGTCCGACCAGAACTCCGCGACAACCCCCGCCGTGGCGACGAGGGAAGAGAGAGCGGCACGGGTAGATCTCTTCCTCCTCTGCGGGGCACGTCGACAGGAAGACCCAGAGATCCGATGTCGTGACTTTTTCCGTACGCGGCCCCCGGAAGTCTTGACCCCTTCCCCAGGACCGGTTTGTCATCCCGAGTCGCTTTGTTGACAGTCCCGAGGCCCGCGAGGGCCCCTAGGGGCCGAAACTTGCGAAAAAGCTCCGTCTTGATGTCTTCACTGCGCTGGATCTCTGGGGGAGCCGGCAGGGAGCCCATAAAGGACGCGCGCACCCAGCCGCGTGCATGAGTACCATGACCACCACCACCAGAATGAGTAGGAGGGGGAGGGGCTCCTCCTCCCTCTCCTCCGCCTCCTCCTCCTCCTCCTCCTCCGCCTCCGCCTCCTCCTCCTCCTCCGCCTCCTCCTCCTCCTCCTCCTCCTCCTCCTCCTTTGAAGGGGCCCTGGGGGACACAAATAAATGCACACAAATAAAAAGATTCCCCATGTTTTCCCAGATTTCCTGGGTTTCCGTCTCCCCCCCCACTTCCCATATTTCCCTAGGGATCGCCGATGAATTGTGTCTGTGTGTGTTTTTGTCCCCTCCTCCTCCTCCCCCCCCTCCAACTTATGGCGGTGGTGGTGGAAAACAGGCCCACATCATGCTCTGGGAGGTGCCCGGCAGGCGGGGGGCGCGGCGAAGCGCCAAGAGAGAGAGAGAGAGCTCCCGGACGCCGCCCGGCCTGCTCCCAGTCGGCGCCCGGGACGACCTGGGCCCGGGCGCGGCACGAAACTGTCGGGAGGCGCGCGCGCGCCTGGCGCCGGCCTGGGCCCTGGCCTCGGTTTCGGCCTCGCTGCTGGCCTTCGCCCCGGCGGCGGCGCCGGCCCCAGCCCCGGCTCCACTTATCTGGTCCCGGGGACTCGGCCGCAGCTTCGGCGCGCCCTTCGGTATTCGCTCTGGCCGCGGCCCGGGCTACTGCTTCGCTCCTGGCCTCGGCCTGCGTCCTGGGCCACGCTGCGTCCCCAGACATCCGACGTGTTGAAGACCATCTTGTGCGCATCAATGATCTAGCGCGCTCTTTCTGGAGAGTCTGGCCAGAAGTGCGTCCGAGCGTGAGGGGGTCTGAGTACAAGCGGCTGGGCACGAGCGGGTCTGCGTGTGAGCGTCTAGACGTGAACGGGACTGGATGCGAGTGAGCTTGAGTATGTGTGGCTGATTATACGCGACTCTGGGTATGAGTGGGCTTCAATGTGACTAGATCGCAGATCGTGAGAGGATCCTGAGGGGATCCTATGATTTCGGCACCTGGCATGTCCCCGCTATCTGGGCGTGAACGCGTCAGTGTCATACCACCTGGCGACTCGCCACTGGATAGTTCAAATGCCATGAATGATACATCGTGGTGATCATGGAGCTCTGAAAACAGGCTCGTCTACTTGGCCGAAACAAGCGTTTCGCCTACGAGCTTCTCACAGTCTGAATACGGGCCAGCATCACACCACCTGGCGGCTCCACATTGAGAGACTCAAGTGCCACGTCCAATTCATCAATGTGAACATGGGGCTCTGAAAGAAGGCTCGTCCGCTTGGCCAAAACAAGCGTTTCGCCTGAGAGTTCCCCACAAATTGAATCTGGGCCAGTGTCATACATCCTGGCGGCTCCACAGTGGGAGGCTCAAATGGCATGCCCGGGGACATCGCGGTGGTCCTGGAGCTCTGAAGAGAACTAACAAGCGTTCAGCCTGAGAGATCCCCACAGATTGAGCGCGAACGGACCAGTATCGTACCTCCTGGCCGCTCCCCACTGGGTGGTTCTCAAATGCCATGCGTGCTGCAACGCGGTGACCGTGGGGCTCAGGGATACGCATACTGAGCCGAAACAAAAGCGGGCGCTTCGCCCGAGAGATCTCCAAACTCCGAGCGCGAACGGGCCGGTGTCGTACCCCCGAGCAGATGCCCACCGGGCGGCTCAAACGCCATGGGGCTCTGAAGAGAGACTCGTGTACCTGGCCAACACAGGCATCTCGCCAGAGAGGTCCCCCCAGACTGAGTGCGAAAGGGCCAGTGTCGTCCCCGCTGGCCGATCCCAATGGGGAGGCTCAAATGCGATGCCTGGCACATCTTCGTGATCATGGGGCTCAGGGACGGCAACTGAGCCAAAACAAGAACCGGCGTTTCGCCTCCGAGGTATCCAAACTCCGAGTGCGAATGGGCCAGCGTCATACACCGGCTCAACTGCCATGCCTGCTGCACCGCGGTGGTCCTGGGACTCTGAAGAGAGCAATCGTCCGCTTGGCCAGAACAGCTAGGTCGCCTGCGAGGTCTTCAACATCTGAGTGCGAACGGGCATCTGTCACACCCCCTGGCGCCTCCCCCTTGGGCAGTCCTCGAGTACAAATGAATCTCATTATGAGCGGGTCTCAACGTGAGTGAATCTGAGTATGAGTGTGGCTGAGTATGCGCTGAATCTGAGCATGAGTGGGACTACGTATGAGCAAGTCCCGGTGTGAGAGAGCCGTAGTGCAATTGGGTCAGCTGGGTCCCTTGAGCCCTTTGGGCGCAGATGGTTTAGCGAGTTCGTGCTTCCAACACCCCTATTATCCGTCGGGGAGTGGGTGACCCCTGGCGCTACCCCCTCCCGTTGGGGACGCGCGAGGGGTCAGGGCATCCAAGATGGCCTGATATAACACCAAGATGGCCCGATGTTGCCCAAGCTGACCTCCACGATGGCGCAAGGCAGCTCAGGATTGCTCAAGATAGCTCCTAACGTGCCTCCAGAAGGCCTCAACACCGCACCAAGAGGACTCTAAGTAGCACTCGAGCCTCCAAAAGACGCCCTCGAGAGTCAAAATCATTCAAAGCATTCGGAAAGGCAATGGTTTGGGCATTCTCGCCTTTTTCGCTTGCGATGGGATTGTGAAACCTCAAGATGTATCCAAAATGGCCCAAGAGAGCCCTGATGGGCCCAGAAGGGCTTGAAGACGGCCCCAAGAACGCCCGAAAGCGCTCCAAGAGCGCCCCAATGGGCGCGTTGTTGGTCTCCGACGGGAGGGGCGTGATTGACGCCAGCCACTTCTTTAATCCATGGCCTCCAAGATGGCCCCAAGAGAGGCCCAAGAGAGGCCCAAGAGCGACTCGAGGGTTCCCAGGCCCCCAGCGAGCTCCAATAGGCCAACAGAAGGCTCCTAGAGGTTTCTAAGTTCACCATTGCTGGCCTCCTTGTTTCACTGTATGCTTGTGTAGCTATGTCCTTTTTCCTGAGAACTTCCCTGGATATCGTTTCTGGATGCGTTGGTGGAGACACGCGAAGCGTCAAGAATATGAGTTGATGTAAGCACGAGTGGATCGAGTGTGAGTGAGTCTGGTATGAGTGAGCCTGAGTATGAATGAGTATGAGTGTGAGTCTGAATGTGAGCGAGTATGTGCGAGTCTGAATAAGGATAGCGAAGCGAGAGTGTGTCAATGCGAGTCTGAGTATGGATAGTTCAACGAGCCTGAGCATGGGAAGGAGACAGCGGGAGTGAGGGGAAAGCCGGCGCGTGTCACTGCTAAGAGCAAGCCCAAGCTTAGGATACGGGAAGCAACAGGGGAGGACGTCGCAGATTGAGCCTCTGGAAGCTCTCGCCAGGCCCTGAGACCGTCAAAGACTACTCAAGGTGAAAGACAGCCTTTGGGGAGCTGGTCGGGACTTCCAGGGGTCCCGTAAAGAAAAAAAGCACCGGATCTCTGGGATCGTGCTTGGATCATGATGCTGCTTCTGCTGCGGCGGCAATGTCCTTCTTTCGTTCTCGGTCCATCCCTCCTCCGCCTCTTGCCTCTTGTCAACACTCGGTGGATGCTCCAACGAGATCCACACCTGCGAAAGCCTACACCGGCCACCGCTCATACCCTTGTGGCAGCTTCCAAGCCTCAAGCATCGAACAAAGTAGAGCCCTGACTCCAAAGATGCATGGCACACAGGCTTTGCCGAACGTCAGGAAGTTCCCCTGCTGGGGCCCCCATGGATCCACACCATTGGCCCCAAAACACACCCCTGAACGCCTCCGAACTCGAACGATTACAAAGAAAGAAGAGAAGTGGGCTCGTCTCCGCGCGTCGAGCAGCCACGGAAAGCTCCCTCTGGCGTCGCTGCTGTCTGCCTCCGAGCAGACCCTGCAGCCACGGCAGCGTACTTCTAGGCGGCGAGCGAGGGGGGGAAGCGAGAGGGAGCAGGCCTTCTCAGCGGGCTCGGAAGCCCCCCGGCCTCCTGAGAAAAGTGCTCCAGGCCTTCCCCGAGGGCACGGCAAGACGTCCCCGGGAGGCGCGAGGGCTTCTGAGCAGAAGGGCCGCCGCCTGGGGGGAAGGCCTCCTCCTCCTCCTCGCTCCCCCCCCCCCCCGCGCTCACCGCCGAACTTCGCCGCCCCGCTCGACGGGAGCCCCTGGCCAGCGGAGGGAGGGGCGCGGCGCTCCTCCGACCCGCCGCGCGGCCTGCTCGCGCCGCCCCCCCCCGATCGGTGCCCCTCTGCTTCGACGAGTGCTTTTCAGCTCCGCAGCAAGCCTGCGGCTCGAATGAAGTAGAAGAAACGATTGCCATCTCTGAAAAAATAGCAGAGCACGAATAGTTTTGCGCTCCAGCTCTGGCAGCAGACCAAGTTCATGCATCTTGACACTTGGGCTCTGGGACCTCAACGGGCATACAAATGGCTGTCAGAGAGCCCATTAAAGAACCTCGGGGGCCCACGCAACTCCCGTCACGGGTCTTCCAACAGCACGCCAGGTTATTCCAGACTGATCCCTTCCAAATCATTCCACCTCCTACAGCATCGTCGCGTATCGCCTCCCAGGGGATCGGCGGCATGGGGCAAGATTCCAAAATAAAGCATTGCGAGAACGAGCGTGCTATCCTTCCCTTGAGAATGGGTGGCCCACCAGCCTCTGGCCAACTGGGCTCTACCAATTCGTCGACGATGCCACGCGCCTTTTTCCGCCTCTGGAATTACAAGACAAGAACATAACCCGCGCTAAATACAAACGGCTCATGAAGAAGAACGGCTCGAGACAAAGAGACAAGTCAATCACGGACGGTCCGATGAAATCCACCGGGATAGCTGCAACGAATGCGGATGGGGAAAATAGATCAGAAAAGATACTAATAGAACGAATACCTTGAAATGAAAGCGCGTGCTGGGATAGGCGGCAGCCCGGCACGAAATGGGCAGCCGAGTGCAGAGAGCACAAGCTCCTGTACATCACGTCGGCATCTAGAACTAAGGAACTTCGTCCTTGGCCTCGCCCACTGCCCGCAATAGACATAGTTCGTCATCTATGCGCCTCAGAAAACGACGCAACCTTATTGATGAGTTGCTTAATTTCGAGTCCCGTCCAGCGGTGGCGACGAGGGCAGACATAACACAAGTGGCAGCGGACTGCGGGAAGGGCCCTCGTCCCCAAGCCCCTCGCCGACCTGGACGGTCAAGGGTACTCCAGGTCTCTCAATAAGCGCGGGGTGGTGGATCGCGTGGGGGGACGGGAGACCGCTGTCCTTCGGGGGGCGTGGGGAGGTTGGGGAGCGAGAGGGGGTGGCTTTGGGGCGCGTGGGGGAGCGGGCAAGGAGCGTCGGACAGGTTGGTACAAGGGGAGTGCTCATTGCAGGGGGGCGTCCAAGAGGGGGGGGGTGCAAATCATGACCGGCGACATGTGCGCGGCCCAGCGGGGGGGCCAGGGACGCAATGAAACAAGAAGAGGCGCCATGAGATCCGGGGAGATAGCATGGCCCCCACCATGATATCCACC